GCGGACACAGCGACGACACGCTGGCCAGCAAAGGCCTCGACCTTCTTCGGCAGCAGCTGGCGCCGCTGGTCGCCGTGGCCCAGCATGCCATAGATTCCACCGCCCCAGCTCCAGACGGCGCCGTCAGCGGTGAGGGCGAGGCTGTGGTGCTGTCCAGCCGACATAGCGACCACGCGTTGGTCAGCAAAGGCCTCGACCTTCTTCGGCAGCAGCTGGCTCTGCTCGTCGCCGTGGCCCAACATGCCATTGGCTCCCAAGCCCCAGCTCCAGACAGCACCGCTGGCAGTGATGGCGATGCTGTGATCGTGTCCTGCCGAGACAGCGACGACGCGCTGCTCCGCCAAGGCCTCGACCTTCTTGGGCAGCAGCTGGTGCTGCTCGACGCCGTGGCCCAACCGGCCGTTGTATCCATAGCCCCAGCTCCAGACGGCGCCGTCGGCAGTGATGGCGAGGCTGTGGGCGTCTCCAGCCGACACAGCGACGACGCGCTGCCCAGCGAATGCCTCGATCTTCTTCGGCAGCAGCTGGCTCTGCTCGTCGCCGTGGCCCAACATGCCATTTGCTCCCAAGCCCCAGCTCCAAACGGCGCCGGTGGCGGTGAGGGCGAGGCTGTGCGCCCCTCCAGCCGACACAGCGACGACGCGCTGGCCAGCTAACGCCTCGACCTTCTTGGGCGGCGACTTGCTCTGCTCGTCGCCGTGGCCCAACTGGCTTGCGGCTCCCCAACCCCAGCTCCAGACGCTGCCGCCGCCGGCAAGGGCGAGGCTGTGGACATCTCCAGCCGACACGCTCACGGCGCGCTCGTCGCCCAGCGAGGAGGGGAGGCGGGTCGGCTTGTTGAGCTGCGTCACGCCCTCGCCGTGCCCGAGCAGCGCTGGATTCCAGTCCGGCGCCCTGCCGCACGTCGAGAGCCTCCCCTCGCCATCGATGAAGACGCTGTGGAACACGCCTGCCGCCGCCCTCACCGGCGGGTTGGACTCGCACAGCCGCGCAGCGAAGCACAGCCACCTCACGGCACAACCCTCGCCCTCCGGCAGCGCCGGCAGCTCGAAGCCGCGCTCTTGCGCCCACAAGCGGATGGCCTCCACCGCAAGCGAGGCGTGGAAGAGGAGGGAGACGGCCGCGGCGCGAGCAATGTCGACGGGGTCGCAGCGAGAGACGACGCGCACGAGGAGGTCCGTGGGGAGGTCGAGGAGGCGGGCGGGCGGCGGCGTGTCTGGCGAGGGGGCGGCGGTGGAGACGGAGGCGAGGCGGCGCGAGCGGCGGCGCGGTGGGGTGGACATCGCGAGAAAAGAATTTAACGTGCTCGGGCCAGTTGGGGGGGGCAAACCCTGCCCGGCCCCTAGGACCCCAGGTAAGGCCCAGGTGTGGCCTAGGGCATCAGAAGGGACCAAGAGGAGTCCAGTCTGAGCCATAGAGCCCATGTCTTTGCCCCCGAAGGTCGCGTTCAAATGCCCGGAACGGCCGTCTCAGTGGTGTCCGGCCGGCGCGATCACCGAGCTGTGACGCTCAGGGAAGCCCGATGAGGTACTGGTTTCTTTGCCCAGGGCTGGCCTACGGCCCGTGCTGGATCAGCTGAGCAAGGTTTGGGGAGAATCCTATATTGGGATCTTCAGATATTTTGACGGATGACCAAAATCACCCCGTTTTTGCCCATTTTACCAGTGGAATTCATGAAACGAACAAAAGAATTTACAAATGTGGGAGCTCCAAACTCCGAACAAAGAAATCTCTATAGGTTCTCGAGGTGGATATCCTTTGGCCGCGTTGAAAGAAATCTGGTTTTGCCTTCTTTCTTTCTGCAGAGGGGCTTGTATAGTAAAATTCTTTCTTTCTTTTCTATCGCTCGCACACGCCACATCCATCTTTGCGTGAGTGAGTGAGTGTGTGTGTGTATCGCGCGCCTTGCGGGGGGGGCGCGGAAAAGAGGAACCTCTTAGCGCCCTCGCCATGGTGCTGCAAGCAGCGCCGGGCGACGACGACTTACCGCCTCCCGGTCCCCCTCGGCACACCTCCGCTGCTCAATGTTTGACGACTCGAACCCGTGAAGCTTCCCCGCGCGCGGGTTACCCCGCACACGGGTCAGCCTGCCAGCCACAAATCCACGCAAGCGTGGTCCGCGCGCATGGCATACAGGCGTCCGCCAGACAGCGCAGAGGCTAGGCGACCGGGGAAGGACTAGCTCAAGGGCAACACAGCGTCACCAGCCGTTGGCGCGCAGAACGAGTCTGCGGCCCCCGGTAGGACGAGCGGCCCGCACAGGTCACGAGCAGACAGCGCCTGCTGGCCATTTCGAGACATTCGCAAAGAACGCTAGCTACATGGGAGGGCTTCGTGAAGGATGGATTGAAAAACATTCCAACAAAGAAGAGGCGACGGGAGGAACCGGCAGAGGATGCAGTGACGTGACACACACACACACACACACACACACACACACACACACACACACACACACACACACACACACACACACACACACACACACACACACACACACACACACACACACACACACACACACACACACACACACACACACACACACACACACACACACACACACACACACACACACACACACACACACCGCTCACCCACGCGCACCGGGCCTTGCACTTTAAATGCCGTGGGGCTCCTGTCGTTAGACGTGGAGACGCGAGGGTCGCCCCCCCTTGCCCCACCACCTCGTGTGTGTGGAGAAGTCTACCTTACCTTACCTTACCGGTTGGGACGAGTGCGCGACGCGGACGAACCGCTCAATGTGGCCGGCAGCTCGCGCTGCCGGCGGGGTTGGTTGGGGAGAACCGGCACGGGGAAGGCCGGCCTCCCCGGAGGGGTCGCCCCCTGGAGGGGCCCCAAAGGGCCCCTCGGGGGGGCGGGGGCCCCCGCCCCGAGGGGCGGGGGCGGGTCCTTCCGTGTCGCTCCCGTCGTCGGGATTGTCCGTCGGGATGGTGTTGTCCGCCCACTCGGTAGCGTTTGAGCCTCTGTCACCTTGCCTGCCGCGAGCAGCTAGCTCGTCGACGTAGTCGTTCCATTTGTTGCCGCTGTGACCCGCCACATGCCTCCACGTCACGGTGTGTTTGGCGCGAAGGCGTCGCCAGAGGGAACGAAGGCGTTCCGCTAGCTGTCTGTTCGTTTTGGGGGTCACCCTCCCCATCATGCACGCCGCCGCGTACTCGCTATCGGTCCGCACTACTCCGCGTGAGCCCGCTCGTTGCGGTGACGAGGACAGGAGAGCACGGAGGAGCTCGGCCAGGGCGGTTAGTTCCGCCGTGTTGTTGGTATGCTTTCTCGCGCCGAGGTAGGCTGGGTGCGCCGCCGAAGTGACAACTGGCCCGTAGCCCTCGCTCGCCAGCGACGCGCCCCTATCGCCGATTGCGTCGCCCCCGATGAGTACTGTATAGGCCCACCCTGCTTTCCCTAGGTCCTCCGACCCGTCTGTGTATGCCACCCAGTCGGGCGGGCGTCGTTGCGCCTGTTCTGTCAGTTGCTGCTGTGGGCGAAGAACGACCCCTGGTGCCTCTACCATTAGTCTCAGCTTGACCCGGCATGCCCCCCCTTCACCCTGAGGCGCTACACAGAGGAGTGCGACTGTGCTCACCGCGCAGCCGTTTGCCGCCACCCCTCGATCGTCTCGGGTCTCGCCCTCCCTCACTGGTGTGTTCATTGGGGGGGGTCATAACAAACACGGTACAGGATCGAGGTGCACGCTGCCAAAGCAGTGTCGTCCCCCCTCTCCCCGACGGCGATGGCGGTGTGACCGATCGAGCTACAAGAGGAGCTTGTTCAGCAGGATCCGGGAGTGGCAGATGCACTACCTCACTGGGCCTGAGACCACCACACGACCCTCCCATCACCGTCTCGGATTTATGTGGGATCGAACCACTCCGGGATGGGCAAGCCCATCGATTGTCATTGATCCATCTGGTTAATTGTCAAAATTCCTGTTCAAGAGGGGAGGGGGCTCTGACGGAGTGTGTGGTGGGAGAGGGCAGGGAATGAGCGCAGGGGAAGGGGGGGGGGGGGCTCAGCCGTGCAAAAAGCATCAATTAATAATAGTAGTGAAGAAATATTGCTCGGCCGTTCATGAAGTCCTTTTTGATCTAGAGGAGACGGGTCAACCCCGTGAGGACCAGATCAGGTTCGCATTGTCGTAGCCGGAGGGGATGTTGACCTTTAGCTCTTGGGGCCACCTTTCCGCTTTGGTTTTTTCCCCACTGACCACTCGGGCAACTTTTACCAAATGCCAAAGTTGCACTTTACCATTCGGGCAACTTCGATTGCATTTTACCACTCGATGAAACGGGCGGACGGAAAACGCGTTTGCGGTCGCTCGCCGGAGAGCTATGCATGAAGCGGCCGGCGCGCCACCGCAGCTCACCGATGGAGCTTGCGAAGCGGCTCAATCCACTGGCGCAGCAGCATTGCGACCCATTCTCCAAGCACGGCCTCTGGCGTTGCGACTGCACAGAGAGCGAGCAATAGTCGCCAAAGACACTGATCTGTGTGCAGCGGATCTCCATGGCGGTCGCGCCCAGCGAAGGGACAACCGCAGGCCTCGGATGCTCGCCCGGATGCGGACCCACCGTACGAGTTGCAGCCCCGGAGGTGGCCGACCCAGCTCACCCCAGAGAGACCATACCCAGGGTCAGGCATAAAAGGGGGGTGTTTTTCGTCCGTCCGAAATAGTCTAGCTAGCGACCTGCCTCCAGCTTCTCACTGGCAGTCTCTCGCAACCACAGGCACACTGACACAGGGGTGGCAGGGGCGGCGGCAGGAGTCTCCCACATACATGCGGGCCTCGCTACTCGAGTAGAGGTGCGTCCTGTGTGTGTCCTCGCCCTTGTTTTGAGGGGGAAGGGGAAGGGGCTGTTTGTCTGTGCATGCATGCATGTGCGTGTGTGTGTGTTTAGTGCCAGTGTGTGCCAGTGCGGCTAAAAACGCTTAAAATTCTTTTTTCGAAACCCTGTCGAAACCCTCCCTAACTTACCTGCGTCATGCCCCGCCGGACGAAAGCTAGCTCAGTCGGGTCCCGCGGGGTTGCATCAACGGCGGCTACTGCTGCGCCGCTCTCGCTGCCGAAAAGGATCGAGGCGGCGGCGGAGAACGGCAAGGTCGACGTGGTGCAGACGTGGCTCTTCAGCGGGGATGGGCGGGTTGACGCAACGTGCGTGCGTAGCGACGTGAGTGGCTGTACGCTCCTGCTGATCGCCGCCGAACACGGTCACAAGCAGCTGGTCGAGGTTCTGCTGAAGCGCGGCGCGGAGGCGGACGCGCGAGACAGCGAAGGTTGTACGGCGCTGATGGCCGCCGCCGCCTACGGCCACGAGCAGGTGGTCGAACTGCTGCTGAAGCGGGGCGCGGAGGTGAACGCGCGAGACAGCGAAGGCTATACGGCGCTGATGGCCGCCGCCCGCTGGGGCTACGAGCAGGTGGTCGAGGTGCTGCTGCGGCACGGCGTGGAGATCAACCTGCAGAGCAGCGTCGGCTGCGCCGCGCTGATGTCCGCCGCGCTCGAGGGCCACGAGCGGGTGGTCGACGTGCTGATTCAGCACGGGGCGGAGATCAATCAGCAGCGCCGCGGCGGCGGCACCGCGCTGATAGGGGCCGCATTCCACAACCATCCCGCCGTGGTGCTCCGCTTGCTGCGGGCGGGCGCAGACATGACGTTGCGCACTGCGGCGGGCATGACGGCGCCGCAGATCGCCAAGGAGAACGGCCACACCGAGTGCGTCGCAGCCGTCAGGACGTATCTCGGGGAGGTGATGGCGAGCCGGCGCGAGGCGGCGGGCCGGCGCGAGGCGGCGGCGGTCGAGGCGGGCGGCGCAGGGGCAGGCATTTCGGGCGGCGAGGGCGGCAGCAGCGGGCCTCTTTCCGAGGAGATCGGCGAGGTGGGCGGCGCACCCGCAAGCGAGGCGGCGTCGGGCGCCAGTGCCGCGGCCTCTGCTTTGATCGGCGAGGGCGGCGCGGAGGCCGAGCCGAGCAGCGAGGCGGTGCCAGAGGAGGTCGTGCTAGCGGCAAAGCGAGGCGAAGATGCGGCGGTGCTGGCGTGGTTCGACGGCGGCGGGCGGGTCGACGCGACGTTCGAGTGCATCTTTGATAGCGGCTCCCGTCTGAGCGGCATGACGCTGCTGATGCTTGCGATGGGCTATAGCCACGCGGAGCTGGCCGAGGCGCTTCTCCGGCGCGGCGCGGATGTCTCGTTGCAGAACAACAGCGGTGGCACCGCGCTGAGCCTCGCCGCCGCGAACGGCCACGAGAACCTGGTCGAGCTGGCATTGCGGCGTGGCGCGGAGATCGACCAGCCAAACAAGATTGGCAGCACTGCGCTGATGGAGGCCGCCTACAGAGGCCACGAGCGGGTTGTAGACACGCTGATCCGGCGGCGCGGAGATCGACATGCAGGACAACGACTTCGACACCGCTCTGATGGCCGCCGCCCTCGGCGACCGCCCCGCCGTCGTGCTCCGCTTGCTGCGGGCGGGCGCAGACATGACGCTGTGCACTAAGAAGGGCAAGACCGCGCTGCAGTACGCCAAGGAGAGGGGCCACGCCGAGTGCGTGCGCGCCCTCGAGGAGCATGCGGCGGCCGAGGCGGCGGCCGAGGCGGCAGCGAAGGAGGCGGCGAGGGCTGCGGGGGCGGCGGCGAGGGCGGCGGAGAGGGCGGCGGCGGAGAAGGAGGCGGCGCGGCACGCCGAGGAGCTGCTGGCGGAGGTCGAGGCGGAGAAGCGCGCCAAGGGCAAGAAGGGCAAGAAGAAGAAGAAGAAGGGCGGCGGGAGTGGCAGCGCTGGGCCGTCGCAGGAGAAAGAGGCGCCGGCGGAGGCAGCCGCAGCCAAGCCCGCGCCGTTGGACAGGGAGGGGCTGCTCCGGCTTCTCGCGGAGCTCCACGAGGACAGGATCCGGTTCGGCATCACGGCGGAGACGTCGGTCGAGGGGTTGGCGGAGGCGCTGGGAGAGGCGGCGGGCGAGGCGAGCGAGGAGGAGGGCGACGAGGAGACGGCGGAGGCGGCCGAGGAGGAGGGCGAGGAGGAGGGCGAGGAGGAGGGCGAGGAGGAGGGCGAGGAGGCGGCAGCGGAGGCGCGCCGGCAGGCTGAGGCGGAGGCTGCGGCCGTGGCAGCGGCAGAGGAGGAGGAGGCTGCCGCAGCGGAGGAGGAGGCGGCAGTAGCGGCGGCCGAGGCGGCAGTAGCGGCGGCAGAGGCGGCGCTCGCCGCAGCGAAGGCAAGGCGCGCGTCAGGTGCCGCTGCGAGGGCCAGGGCGCGGGAGGCGGCCTAGCCCGCGCGCAAGGACAGCTGGCGCAGTGGCAGCCGTGGGGAAGGGTCTCTCGTACTCTGGGGTGCGTTCTCTTGTGAACGATCGTGGCTGTGGGCTGGGCCCCGCGCCGCGCGGGCGCGCGTGCAGTCCCTCGAGGTCCCGCCGGGAGCTGCTCACACAGCCGTACGAAGGGTGGGCGGTGGCGCGGGAAAGTGGCATAGCCTACCAATGCCACAGAGTGCGAGCATCTCTCAGACACCAGAGAGTGTGTGGGGAGCTGGGTGGAGGGCGGGCACCCTGCCATCATCTGGGCGAAGACCTGCGTCGCCGGTCCGGCGCTGCGCGCGGACGGCGATCCTCGCGGAAACTCTTCCCGTGTGGGTTTGTTCTAGCCCCCAGGTTAGCGCGTGGGTTAGCGTGTGTGGCTGTGGGTTAGCGTGTGGGTTAGCGTGCGGGTTTAGCTCGCGGGTTTAGCTCGCGGGTTAGCGCGTGGGTTACCGCGCAGAGAAAATAGAATGGAATGGAACGCGTCGCCGTTCAACAGACGTTCAACATAACAGTGGTGTCAGTGGTGGGAACGAGATGAGGGGGGAGATGGAACAGCCTCGAGCCTGAGCGCCGTGAGGGAGGAGAATTCAACTCTGGGCCCTAGAGGGTATCCATGCGGGGGGGAGATGGGGTCGGATGGCCCGCCGCAGGCGCCGATTTTTTCAGGATTTGTCTTTTTTTGCGCAATTTTTCACTTCCGAAGTGTCACTTGTTTCATGGGAATTCGGCGTACTTGCGGCCATGCTATCACGCCTTGCGACAGCCTGTCGGCGCTGCTGACCGTGCCATGCTGCACAATTGACCACCTGCATAGCTCGCGGCCTTACGGCCACGGCACGCACTGCGCCTCGACCGCGGGGGGTGCAACCTACGGTGTCGCCGAGGGCACCACCATCATCACCGTTCAGGTGCTGAACTGCGGCGGCTCCGGATCGACGGCCGGCATCGTCGCGGGCATCGAGTGGGCGGTCGCAGACTCGAAGGATCGCGGCTTGCCAGCGGTGATCTCGATGTCGCTCGGTGGCGGCGGGGCAAACCGCTTTGACGCTGCCATCAATGCCGCCTTTGCCGAGGGTGTCCTGAGTGTCGTCGCAGCCGGCAACTCCAACGCCGATGCGTGCGACTACTCTCCCGCCTCTACACCACTCGCAGTCACCGTGGGATCGACAACCAACAGCGACGCCAAGTCGGGCTTCTCGAACCACGGCACGTGCGTCGACATCCATGCGCCTGGCTCCGGCATCACGGCGGCGTGGGTCGGCTCTGACTCGGACACCACCACTATCTCCGGAACCAGCATGGCGTGCCCGCACGTCGCGGGAGTTGCGGCGCAGATCCGCGCGCTGCGGCCGAACTTTGGCCCGGGCCAGGTCACAACGTCTCTGCTATGCTTTGCCACTCCAGACACCATCAGCGGCCTCCCCTCCAACACTGTCAATGAGCTGCTGTTCAACGACCTCGACGACGCGGCTCTATCGGAGTGCCTCCAGGCATCAAGCCCTGCGCCACCGACGCCGCCCTCGCCGCCGCCCTCGCCGCCGAACCCGGGCAGCTCGTGCGAGCTGGCGCACTCCTTTGGCGACTCCTCGACCAACACCTTCTCGCTGGACATCTCCGACACCTCGGTCGGTGTCGGCCCGCCCGGCTACGATCCCTCGCTCTGCTCGGGCACGTGGTTCACCGGCAGCGGCGCCGTCTACTGGCTCAAGCTCGACGACGTGCGGCCAGGCGTGTCGCTCGACCTGACCGCCTGCGGCTTCGACACGGACCTCTCCATCTTCAAGGGCTCCTGCGACAGTCTCGAGATGGTGGCGTGCGACGGCGACTCCGGCTCGTGCAACGTCGCCTACAGCTCCTTCATCGACGACTTTGTGCCCGAGGCGGACACGCAGTACTACATCGTCCTGGCCGGGTACAATGGCCTCACAGGCGCCGCCACAGTGACCGCCACCTACGCCTCGGGCGCGTCGCCCTCGCCGGCGCCGTCTCCCTCTCCCTCGCCAGCGCCGTCGCCAGTGCCGTCGCCCTCGCCGGTGCCGTCGCCGTTGCCAGTGCCCCCGCCGTCGCCTACGCCGTCGCCGGGTCCGGTCGCTCCGCCTGGGCTCTTGCCATGCGATGCCTGCGACTTTGCCGTCGAAGTTTTCAATGGCGTCGAGTGCATTCTCATTTCTGATCTCCTCGACCACTCCCCCCTGGCGCCACCCTTCGCTTCCCCAATCCCGTCGCCGCCTCCGCCGTCGCCGTCGCCGTCGCCGCCTCCACCGCAGAATTGGATCGAATGCGGCAGGCCCGGTCGGTGCACGGAGGCAGCGAAGTTTGCAGCGCATACAGAGTTGCATGAGGTTCGCTGTTGCTCCGAGACGCGGCTCTCCAATTCGTGGCGCCGGAATCAGGGTTGCTCGGTGTGGAGTGATTCTCAGGGGCCAGAGATGGGCGAGTGCGCCCACTCCAAGACGTTCTTGGAGGCAACGGCAATTTGTGCCGATGCCGGCGCTCGCCTCTGCACCCAGGATGAGATAGCAGGCAGCTGCACTCGTGGCACAGGGTGCGGCCATGACCGTGACCTCATCTGGAGCTCTACGACTGATTGAGCCAAGGAAAGCTTTCATTCATTATCCATCTATTTATTGGCACCGCAGCCTACGAAGTTGTTCATTATTGGCACCTCTTTGCCCCCCTCCCGCCCCTCTCCCCTGTTCATCTAGAAGATCGATCTCGAGCTCAGATCGATGCTGTCCCTAGTATATCTGTGACGCCTCATGTTGCATGTCCGTGGAGGATCTTGTCGAGCGTCCGGTCTTTTGTGTACCACATTACGCGGCACCCACTCACCGTCGTCCAGGCTGGCCCTTTAATGGTTTCCCCTAGCAGCAGAACGCCCCCTCTACTCGGAGCTAGTAAACACCAGACAAGGACACGCGACGACACACACTCCACCTTGGCGGCGTCGCTGGGTATTTTTTTCACTCGGCTTTGGGTCGCGGCCAAGTCTCGATCGCTGCTCCGCCGCCGCTCTTCTCACTGCGCAGCTCACGGCCCTGCCTCCTCGGTAGATTTGGGTAGATCGGCATGTCACTGGCCAAACGTGCGCTGCGCGCGAGCCTGGACGCCGGCTCCGACGGCTCCGTCACGCTCGCCAGCCTCTCCGGCGCCTCGGCGCTGCGCACGCTCGACCTGATGTTTGAGGCGGCGCCGAGCGGAGGCTTCCAGTACCGGCTGTCTGGGCAGTCCGCGTCGGCCGCAGAGGGCGGTCCCTCGGCCCCGCCGGAGCGCGCCATTCCGCTCGACACACTCGACCTCATGTTCGAGGCGGACGGCGGCGCCTTCACGTACCGGCCGCCTCCGGCGCGAGCCAACGCAGAGAGAGGGTCCGAGCCTCGCACGCTCGACCGTCTGCTGACGCCGGCGCGCTGCTCGGCGTCATCGGCCTCCTCCTCCGGCTCTGGCTGCACCGGCTCTGGCCGCACCTCCCGCGCCTCTGGATCCTCCGACACTCCGCCTCGGCTGTCTGGCGGCGCTGGCGTCCGCGGCTCGGGCGCGCGTGCGGCCCGGCAGCGTGGGACGGGGCTTCCCCAGGTGGACGAGACCTCGATGGTGCGGGTCGCGAGGAGTGAGTAGAGGAGTTGACTCACAAGGAATGCCTCAGGTCGACGAGAACTCGGTGCAGGTGAGCCCTCCAGGCACGCCCAGCGCCGCCGCCGGCGCAGCAGGCCGCACGCTCGACTCGCTCTTTGGCTCGATGAGTGCCGGAGACAGGGACAGCGGGTCTGTGGGTGGGTCCGGACCGCTGTCGCGCCTCTCGCTACCGCGCTCAGGCAGCGGCGCCAGCGGCGGCCCGTCTCACGCAGCCCAACTGACGCAGGACGAGCGGCTCGGTGGCAGCCGCGGCTCGGCGCACGCGGCGCTCCTCCACGCCCGACGAGCGGGCGCCTGGCCGTCTCAGTGAACAACGAATGGATGGTGAGTGGTGAGTGAACAGGCGCACCTCACGCTCGACGAGCGAATGGGCAGCCGCGGCTCCTCCTCCTCCTGCCGCAACTCCTCCCCCTCCACCGCCGGCAGCCGCCATCTCGGCCCACCTCGGGCAATCTCGGGCCACCTCGGAGGCGGCGGGGGAGGCGGAGGCGGCGGCGGCGGCGGCGGCGGAGGCGGCGGAGGAAGCGGGGGCCGCGCGCCAGCGAGCAGCCGCGGCGTGCGCATCGACGTGCCCGACGGCGGTGGCGGCCCAACCAGCGGGCCACGGCGCGTCGCGTCGCTGCCGAATGCGATGCCTGACGGCCAATCTCGGGCGATGCCTGAGGGCCAGAGGCCGCCCGCGTTGGCCAAGAGTGCGACCACGGGCCACGCGGGGTTGGAGGCGCTCGGCTGGCGGCTGGACGACGGTAGAAGTGCACCGCGCAAAACAGAACGACACCACGCAGGCGCTCGGCTCGCGGCTGGACGAGCTGCGCGCCGCGGTGTGGACACAGGCCGACCCGCCACACGTCACGTCCGTGACCGTGTACACGTCCCACCCGTATTGACGAGGGCTGGTTTGTGATCGGCGTAGGCCGACTCGCCGCCCGGCCGAGGCGACGAGTACGGCAGCGGAGTCGCTAGCCGCCGCTCTCGTCTTTGAAGTAGGCCGGTTCGCCGCCACACGAGGCGACGGCGGGCGTGCGCGAGGTCGCGGCGAGGCGCTCGCTCTACCTGCAGACCCTCTCGAGCCTCCGCCGTGTCGCGGGGCTTGGTGCGGGCCAGTTCGGGTGCGTCTCCCTTGTGACGGACGTGCACGGGCAGCCGCACGCGCTCAAGGCGCTCTGGAAGGGGCAGCTGATCGCGTCCGGCAGCGTCGGTGCCGTGGTGCGCGAGCGTGAGCTGCTCGCGTCGGTGAGCTGAATCTGGCCTTCCGACTAGCGCTCGAGAGGACACGCACCCCACTGTGGTTCGCCGTAGTCTTCCGCCGCAGTCGATGCTTTCGTAGCGACTCGTAGTCACGACTCCCTGCCCCGAGGCATGTAGGTGACCATGTAGGTGTGCCACGATTCCCTGCTTTGACCATGTAGGTGAGCCACCCCGCAGTGGTGCGGCTCGAGGCCTCCTTCCAGGACGCGCGGCGCGTGTTCCTGCTGCTAGAGCCGGTCCTCGGCGGCACGCGTGCGCACCTCTCCCCTCTCGCCTCTTCACACCTCTAGGTGTGAACAGGTCCTCGGCGGCGAGCTGTACGCAGTGCTGCACATGCTGGGTCGCCTCGAGGAGGGGCAGGCCCGCTTCTACGCCGCGTGCGTCGCCGACGTGCTCGGCCACCTGCACGACGCGTGTGGCACCGTGCGTACCGCACCCCTCTCCAAGACATTTCCCCGACACCTGTCCCCGACACCTCCCGTGCAGGTGAGCGGCATCGTGTACCGCGACCTCAAGCCGGAGAATTTGCTCGTCGATGGCGTCGGCTACCTCAAGCTCGTCGACTTTGGGCTCGCCAAGCGGCTGCGGCCCCTCGCGGACGACGGCGAGGTGCACGCCGCAGAGCGGACCTCGACTATCTGCGGCGAGATGCAGCCGAGAGATAGCTGAGAGAGAGCCGCGAGAGAGCCGAGAGATAGCCGAGACGTAGCCGAGATGCAGCTGAGATGCAGCTGAGATGCAGCCGCGATGTAGCCGAGAGATAGCCGAGATGTAGCCGAGATGTAGCCGTGATGCAGCCGCGGCAGAGCGAACCCCGACAGGCACGCCCGAGCCTCTCGCCCCCGAAATGGCGGGAGAGCCCCCCGAGAGTACCCGAGATTGCCTGTAGGCACGCCCGAGTACCTCGCCCCCGAGATGGTGCGGGGGGAGGCGTACAGCTTCTCCGTCGACTGGTGGGCGCTCGGCGTGCTGCTCCTCGAGATCGGCCTGTGGCTGTGAAGAGCGTCTCTTCACGCCTCCAGCTGCCAGCACAGGCATGCTGCTCTTCGAGATGCTCGCCGGCGTGCCCGCCTTCCGCAGCGCCGACCCGGCAGAGGTGTACCGCAAGATCCTCGTCGAGGCTCCGCGTTTGCTCTTCAAGAGCAGCGCCGAGTGCGACGCTCTGCTGGCCGGTCTGCTCGCCAAGGCTCCCGAGCAGCGGCTCTGCGCGGCGGACGAGGTCTGCGACGCGCCTTTCTTCGCAGCGATCGCGTGGTCGAGCTTGCGCAGCCGCAGCACGCCCGCCCCGTTCCGGCCGAAGATCGCGCACCCGACGGACACGTCCAACGTCGTCACCATCGAAAAGTACGCGAGCCCGGCGAGCGAGGAGGGCGACGGCGCCGAGTGGGACCGCTACCTCACGAGCGCCACTTTGCGCAGCTCCACGCACCCCTTCGCCTCCTTCGCTTCGGGCGTGTGGTAAAGAGATGGTGTTTGTGAGCCTCGTGTGGCGTCTCGTGTGGAGGCAGCCAACTTTGAGTGTCCATTGCCAGCGCGGCGGCCCCTTAGATTAGCTTGTAGGTTGGTGTTGCGATCGAGGGACGAGGCGAAATCAGACAGCCCCAAGCTGCAGAACATGTGCGAGCCAGCGGCAGGCCTACAGCTAGAGAGCCGTACACACGCCGCTCAACCTCAAGGAGTCAGGTGCGGAGCGCCGCGCGCGGAGCGCGCCCGACGAAAATTTTGAGGGTTGAGGAGGGCTAGGTGCGATATTTCTATTAAGAGTTGACTCACACGCTAGGAACCACTCTGCCCACCCACAGGCCCAATCTCAAGTGGCGGCGCTCCGCGCCTGTGCAGCGGCGCGCTCCGCGCGACCGTGTTCTGCAGCGGCGCGCTCCGCGCGTGTCTCCGGGCGCTACATGCGGCCGTCGCCGTGCCCTTCATCAACCGTGCGCTCGAGAACTGGAGCGGGCTCAACTGGAAAGACCGCTTTCACCACAACGACAGGTCACATGCACAGAGGGGCGGCATTGGAGCTTCGCTGCAGCGGGGTGTGGTCATGACGCGGAAGAAGGCAGAGACACAGCGTCTGCCAGACGCGTGCTACGACGTCAGGCCAGCTTCGAAGCAGCGTGGCCACAACTGACTGCAACAGACTGTCTTCATGTGTCTAGACTCTACCGGTACCGCGGTGCGCTCTCCGCGCACATAGGTGCCAGCGCGCTCCGCGCGGTATCTAGCCAGCGCGCTCCGCGCGTGTGTCTAGCTAGCGCGCTCCGCGCGTGTGTCCAGCTAGCGCGCTCCGCGCGTGTGTCCCCAGCGCGCTCCGCGCGCACGATAATCCAGTGCCTACACTTGTAGGCACTGAAAGCTTGTTTCTGCAGCTTGGCGAGACAGCCCGGCCATCCCGGATCTGACTTCTGAGTTGGACCGCCCCCCCTTTCTCAGAGTTAAGGCACCCGGGAAATATTGAATATATTGCTGCAATAGTTAGAGATGCGATCAATATCAATATATGTATTGCAATAGTTAGAGGAGGCTGGGCCTGGGCTGGGTCAGGACCGTCAGGTTGGACTCAACATATCAATATGGGGGCCCATCCCGGGCTTGAAAGTGGCTCTAAATCGTTCAAAACGGGGGCCCAAATCGCTTCAAACTCGCTTAAATCGCATGAAAATCGCTTTAAACTCGTATTTTTTTTATTTCAGCCCACATGTAGGCGTTCGATGTTTGGGACAAATGTCGACATTTGGTGCTCTTGGAGGTTAAAATCAGCGATCAATATGTCAATATATTGTCAATAGTTAGAGGGGATGCTGTCAATAATCAATATCAATAGTTACAGGGGCGAGAACCAATCTTTCCCGGGTGCCTTACTCAGAGTTGGATCCCCCGTCGAGTGTGGCCCCCTGAGAGTTGGATCCCCCGTCACCGTGTGGCCGTGGCCCGTGCCCCCCACGGGCCACGGCCGACGCCCCCCCGAGCCCGACGGCGCCGAAACGCGAAAGCAAAAATCGATGTGAGGGGGCGAAAGGCGGCTGGTCCGCGCCGCGAGCGCCAAGTTGGGATTCATTCCGATTCTCGTTCTCTCGCTCGAGCGAGACTCGCTAGCGACGGCAGGGGCTAGACCTACGTGGGCGCTCGCGACGGCCGACGCGTCTCTCGAGCCTCGTCTCTCGTGCGTCTCTCGAGAGAGCGGGAAAACGAGGCTGGGGCGTGGCGCCGTGGGGTGACTCAGGCTGAGGCTCGACATCCTAACGTGTGGCATTCTCTCGGGTGATCAGATCGTACAGATCGTCACTACCGCAGCACTACCGCCGAAACGCAAGCGAGACCGAGAGAGCCAAGAGCACTGCGACGCATCGGGCTCAGGTAGGCCTCCCAAGCCTCGAGGGAAAGAAAAAAGCTACCGAGGGAAGGCAAAAGACTTTCCTAAAAACGCTCCCACTATCTGTCTGGCACCTCCCCCACCGTCGAGGCGCCCTCCTCGAGCGGACCCCACCAGAAGCGAATGCCGCTCACGCCGGGTGAGTAGAGCACGAGCGGCGCGGCGTCGGGGTCGACGAGCGCGCCGGGCAGGCCTGGGACCGCATCCAGCGCCCTGCAGCGGCCACGGGTCGTGCATGATGCGGCCCACCCACAGGCCGGCCTCCCGAGGCATCACGGTGGAGCCGGAGCAGCCCCGCCTCGTTACCGCGCTCGACCAGGAGCCGGGGGCTCTGCCGGATCGGCAGGGCCGTCGCAGATATCTCACTCGAGTGTTTTCGAGTATGGTCTAGATTGAGACGACTCGAAGAGTTCACGCTCCGCCGCGCGCCTCGATCTTCTTGGGCAGCAGCTGGTTCGACAGGTCCTCTCCGTGGCCTAGGCAGCCGAGATCGCCCTTGCCCCAGGTAAGGACGGCACCGTCGGCGGTGATGGCGAGGCTGTATTCGCCTCCCGCCGACACAGCGACGACGCGCTGGCCAGCAAAGGCCTCGACCTTCTTCGGTAGCAGCTGGTTCTGCCGGTCGCCGTGGCCCAGCTCGCCAAAGTATCCGTAGCCCCAGCTCCAGACGGCACCGTCGGCGGTGAGGGCAAGGCTGTGCGACCCTCCAGCCGAGACCGCGACGACGCGCTGGTCAGCCAAGGCCTCGACCTTCTGGGGCAGCAGCTGCTGCTGCGTGTCGCCGTGGCCCAACCTGCCTTGCCCTCCACGGCCCCAGCTCCAGACGTCGCCGTTGGCGGTGAGAGCGAGGCTGTGCAAGAGTGAAGCAGACACAGCGACGACTCTCTGCCCTGCCATGGCCTCAATTCTCTTGGGCAGCAGCTGGCGCTGCTGGTCGCCGTGGCCCAGCATGCCGTAGAGTCCATCGCCCCAGCTCCAGACAGCGCCGTCCGCGGTGAGGGCGAGGCTGTGTTCGCGTCCTGCCGACACGGCGACGACGCGCCGCCCAGCTAAGGCGTCGACCTTCTTGGGCAGCAGCTGGTTCTGCTCGTCGCTCCCGTGGCCGAGCTTGCCGTAGTCTCCATCGCCCCAGCTCCAAACCGAGCCATCGGCGGTGAGGGCGAAGCTGTGGTACCGTCCAGCCGACACAGCGACGACGCGCCGCCCAGCAAAAGCCTCGACCTTCTTTGGCTGCAGCTGGCGCTGCTCGTCACCGTGGCCCAACTTGCCAAATAATCCACCGCCCCAGCTCCAGACAGCTCCGTCGGCAGTGATGGCAAAGCTGTGATAGGCTCCAGCCGACACGCTCACCGCGCGCTCGCCGTCCAGCGGGGAAGCGAGGCGGATCGGCGTGTTGAGCTGCGTGACGCCCTCGCCGTGCCCGAGCAGTCCTGGGTAGCCCCCCTCCGAGCCGCACGACGACAGCCGCCCCTCGCCGTCAATGAAGACATTGTGCTGACTGCCTCCCGCCGCCCTCGCCGGCGGGTTGTGCTCGCGCAGCAGCGCAGCGAAGCACAGCCACCGCACGGCGCAGCTCTCGCCCTCTGGCTGCGCCGGCAGCTCGAAGCCGCGCTCTTGCGCCCACAAGCGGATGCTCTCCTCCGCGAGCGAGGCATGAAAGAGGAGCGAGACGGCGGCGACGCGAGCGATGTCGATGGGGCTGTCGAAGCGGGAGAGGACGCGCTCGAGGAGCTCCCTCGGGAGGTCGAGGAGCCGGGCGGGCGGCGGCGAGTTCGGCGAGGGAGCGGCGGTGGAGGCGGAGGCGAGGCGGCGCGAGCGGCGGCGCGGCGCGGTGGACATCGCGAGGAAAAGAATTTTTTGAAAATGAGGGCCTGGCGCACAAGCACAACCCCCCTGGTCAACTCGCACCCTCCACACCCGTATCTCTCTCGCTCTCTCGGGCGGCATGTTTAATTGTAAAGAGCCACAGACAACGAGAGAGAGAGAGAGAGCCTAGCCTCTCCATAGGACCAGACTAACCAGCCACCGCGCACTGTGGAGCGACCGACGACGCGCAACGGGGACGATATGACTACATAGTGGCCGGCACTGGCCGGCACGCATGCGCGGCTACGCGCCGAGGTCGCGGCACTGCGGCCCCAAAGGCGGCTCGATGAGGGACGTCCTGCCCATCGGCCCCTCGGAGTTTGTGAGGCCGTTCTGCGGCCCGATCTTGACGGGGTTCCCCGCCTACGAAAGAGACCCCGCATCTGGGGAGATGTGGGGAGATATGGGGAGATATGGGGAGATCTTCGGAGAGATCTGGGGAGATCTTCCGCATCTAGAGGCTCCGAGGCCTTGGGGTTGTCGAGATATGGGGAGATATGGGGGAGATGTGGGGAGATATGGGGGAGATATGGGGAGATCTTCCGCCTTGAGGTTGTCGAGCAGCTCGACGGTGCTCTCGGTGGTCAGATTCTCGAAGAACATGTCGTTGACCTGCACCATCGGCGCGTTCACGCACGCGCCCAGGCACTCGACCTCGGTCAGCGTGAACTCGCCGTCGGCAGTCGTCTCGCCCGCCTTGATGCCGAGGTGCTTCTCGATGGTGTGCATGATGTCATAGGCGCCACACACCATGCAGGGGGTGGTGGCGCAGAGCCTGGCCAAGGGGGTCTCTCTCTCTCTCTCTCTCTCTCTCTCTCTCTCTCTCTCTCTCTCTCTCTCTCTCTCTCTCTCTCTCTCTCTCTCTCTCTCTCTCTCTCTCTCTCTCTCTCTCTCTCTCTCCCTCTCTCTCTCTCTCTCTGTGTGTGTGTGTGTGCGTGTGGGGGGGGGGGCGGAGGGAGGGAGGAGGTGCACATGATGTGGAAGCGCCCGCGCTTCTCGCGGTTGTACATGGTGAAGAATGTTGCAACCTCGTAGGCGTCCATGTGGGAGCACCCGAGCCGCTCGGCAATCTGGCGGGGCCCCGGCGGGCGGCGGTGAGAGGCGCGAGGAGGGAGGAGGAGGCAGGAGGAGGGAGGAGGAGGGAGGAGGGAGGAGGAGGGAGGAGGAGGGAGGAGGAGGAGGGAGGAGGAGGGAGGAGGGAGGAGGAGGAGGGAGGAGGAGGGAGGAGGAGGGCGGTCGGCAGGGGCGGGGTCGAGGGGTGTGGCGGGGGGAGGGGGGCGACGGCGGAGGAGGTGGGGGACGGCCGCAGGGGCCGCGAGGCGACGGGAGGAGGCGATGGGGGAGATGGTAGAGCGCAGGGGCGCGCGAGGGGTCAACCCGCTGCTGGCGGCGCTCGCGCGAGGCTGGCAGGCGGAGAGGGGTGCAGGCGAGGAGAGGGCGGCGGGGGAAGCGGACGGCGGAGGACGCCGGGGCGGGGAGGAGGCGGCGAGGGCGGGCAGGAGGCGGCGAGGGCGGGGAGGAGGCGGCGAGGGCGAAAGCGGAGGCGGGGGAAGGGTGCGCCCCCCGTTCGCGGCAGGGAAGCGGGTGGGTCGGGCGGCGGCGCGGGGCGGCGGGGCCGCCTTATGCATCGCCGCGAGTGGGACCCAGCCACCACCGCCCTGCGACTTTGGGAACGCCATCGCGCCGCGCGGGTTGTCGGCTTTGATCGTCGCGTGCGCGCGGTCGAGCTGGGCCTGGACGATCCAGAGCAGCGGCATGATCCCGGACTGCCGCCCCTGCAGCGTGTCCGGGTACTTGTTGAGCGTAAAGGCAATCTCCTTCTCCGCCTCCTCGTCAAACTCGAAGGGCGTCTCCTCCAGGTTGTCGGCCTCCTTGACGTGGTGGAAGGTGCCCGAGGCGCGCGACGGAGCCGCCCGCAGCAGAGGAGCAGCGCGCGGCGCACGTCGCAGCAGCGCGGTGTGGAGCGACCGAGCACCGGCCGAGGTGCTCCTGCAGAGCGCCGTGCGAAGCATTCTCTGGGAAGCCCAAAAAATAAATGGCGGTGTCGCGCCGTCCGATGGTCTGCTGCCCCGCGCAGCAACCGTCGGGCGACGACCCGGGGGCCAAAAACCCGGCGACGACGGCGCTCTGGATGGGGCGTGACCTCCTGCCTCCAACCTCCTTCCTTTTTGAGCAGGTGTGACGCCGCGCGAGCGACGCTCCGAGATCGCCCGAGATAGCGCGGCGCGGCCCCGAGATCGCCCGAGATAGCGCGAGATTGCCCGAGATCGCGCGGCGCGGCCCGGGGCGGGGTGGATGGGTTGGGAGCGAGGGGGCGAAAGTGTTCAGTGCGGTAGATCGGTCAGTCGGGGCGCATGAGCCGGACTTGTGGGCCGGACCACCCAAGTCCTTTATCTGCGTTGTTGAGCCAGGACTCAACATACTCGTTCTGTTGCCGTCCCAAACTGTCACTCCCCTTTCTCCCGGCCGGGGTGGGCGCGCGCGGGGGGCGGCGGGTGTGCGGGATGTCTGTGGGCCCGAGAGCGATATGCCATGTCCGCCTTGCGTGTTTGTTTCATAACATCGAAGGCTAAGCTCAAAAATAAACCCAACTAATATTGCAATATTACAAAAGAGAGTCGTGGCCTGAGAGCCGTGTGCGCCAACGCGAGATCGAATCGTACGGGACACACATCTTGCCGCGCCTCTCTCCACACCTCTCTCTATAGAGGGTCTCACTCTCAAATGATGCTCCCGCGTCCGGCGAGACGCGGTCCCACCTGTGCGCATCTCGGACACACGCGCTGCCACGCGAGATCGAATCGTACGGGGCAGCGTGGCGCCGCCAAGACGCACAAGGATAATGAGCTGCATGGGGGGCGGAAGAAGGGGGGGGGGAGGGGGTGGACAGCGCACGGGGAGACGCCTTGGCCAGCCACGGCGCAGGCACCGCAACCACACTTGTGGCATGGCTCTCCTGGCGCCGCGCCCTCTACTCCTTTGCGGACTGCGGCGCGGTGCCGGGCTTGATCGAGTTGGGGTGGATGCGCAGGTAGAACCACCAGTTGACAATGATGCAGGTGAAGTAGTAGGCGCCGAAGATGAAGAAGGGCGTCTCGGGCGCACCCTGCTGGATGGCAGTCGCAAAGAACTTGGGGATGAGGAAGGCGCCTATACGGGACGTGTCGTGCACGCGTCGCAGACGCGTCGCAGGTGGGCCCGGGCCCCCGCGAGGAGGGCGCCGAAGGAGGCGATGGCGGACGACCAGCCGAGGACAGGCGGCGCGAGAGTCTTGTCAAAGATGACGGCGATCTGCTGGAAGGTGGAGCCGTTGCCGACGCCTGCAGTCTCGTCGCGAATGTGTTGGGCGCGGGCGGTCTGCGTCCACGCGCGCGGTGGCTGTGTGGGGCTCTCCGTGCCATCCCGCCAATCTACACGCCACGAGACAGACATGATGTCTCGGTCGCATCGCGGTCACACCGCGGTCACATCGCGGTCACATCCCGGCTACAGCTCTCGCCGGTGCAGTAGAAGAGGATCATGAAGCAGACCATGAAGGGCGGGAAGAAGCGGATGCGGTTCTCTTCTGCCTCGCGCGCGTACTTGACGATCACGCCGAGCCCGATCGTGACCGCCGTCATCAGGACCGTGTGGTAGTGGGTGACGCGCGCGCCGCCAATCTTGTCCGACATCATGCCGCCGAGCGGGCGGATGAGCGAACCGATGAGCGCGCCTGTGTGGTTGCAGGCGCTGTCTCCGGTGCTAGTTGCTTGGGCGTGGCCGTGGATTGAGGTTGCCTAAGTACTAGCGTCCTACCCCCACCACACTGTCCCCGCTCCTGCTCCCTAGATCTACAGATACTGCTCTACTTCTGAGCGCGCCGAGGAAGGCGGGCGAGAAGCCCTTGACGGGCCAGCCGGTGTACGAGCAGTCGCCCTGCTCAAGTGTGCCCTTGAGCTGGAGCTCGGCGCACTCCTTTGGTCCGTACTCGTCGAAGATGTCGACGATGAGCTTGGGGAAGGCGGAGGAGAAGCCGATGAAGGAGCCTAAGGGGACGCGTCGTGCGTGAGTGTCGCGGACACGGCTGCGGGGGAGGCGACGCGCGCTGGTCGGGCCGAAGGTCATGATGTACAGGTAGGTCATCACGTAGTTGTGCTTGTTCTTGAAGATGGCGAGGCCGGTCATGAGGGCCGGCTTGGCCGCCTAGCAGAGCAGCAGCCGTTGAGGAATCGCTCTGTCAGTCCGCGCACTTACGCGCTCGGCCGCCTTGGGGAACGAGGAAGAACATGAAGGTGCGCTCGGCTAATCCCGGCTGGTCTCGGCGAACCTCGGCTAGTCTCGCTCCTCGACTAATCTCTGCTGATCTCAGGAGCTAATCTCACCTTGGGGATGAGGAAGTACATGAAGGTGTGCTCGATGATCGACACGACGACGATGATGCCGATGGTGATCGGGATGGCGGCCGCCGGCTGGGTGAGGTTGCGCGTGCCGTAAATGATGGCGACGCCGATGGCGGAGGTGATGTAGGCGGGACCCTGGAAGAGGTGCGAGCGGGTATAGGCAGCGGGGGCGGGTAAAGGCCGTTCTGGGAGTGCGGCAGGAGAGGTGTCTCGGAAGGAGGCGCGCCTGGAAGGAGGCGTAGTTGCAGAACATCTGGAAGAAGCCGTCGGGCACCGGGTGCGTCTCCTTGGGCATGTTGTTCATGAAGAAGAAGGCGAGGAAGACGCACGCGATGCAGATCTGTGCGCGGGGATCGCGCGGGGTGGGAGAGCAGGGGGGGGGGGGGGGGGGCTGGTGAGTCTGTGTGAGAAGGGGGCGCTCGGGGCTGCTGACTGCTGTCTGACTCACCCTCCGACGAACGGGACGACGAACGAGTTCGGGAGGCGGAAGATGCCGCCGGAGAGGCCGCCGGTCGCTCCGATGACGTAGAGCGCAGCCTTGTACGCCTTGTTGCGGTCGGCGTCCACCTTGCAGCCGTACGCCTCGTCCGGCGAGTAGAAGCCGCCCGGGCCGTCCTTGGAGGCGGGCGCAGTCTTGAGGTCCTTGAAGTCCTTCGAGTACATGAAGTCGTCGGCGTTGGAGTACCTGAGGCGAGGGGCAAGATAGGCGGCGAGCGGGGGTTGGAGGTAGAGTCTCGCATGGTGATGGTGATGGCGGACTATGTGTGTTGAGGCGAGGGGCAAGATAGGCGGCGAGCGGGGGTTGGAGGTAGAATGGTGATGGCGGTGGTGTGTGTTGAGAGGGGAGAGGGGGGGGGGGGGCGCACGGCGTAGCCCCGTCGTAGTTCTTGGTCTGCCAATCATTGAAGGCATCCTGCGTGGCTTTCTGCCAGGTGGAGCAGCACGCCTTGTCGTACCAGCCTGGCTCGGAGGGCGCGGAGGCGGGAGGGGCGGTGGGCGGGGGTGGGCGAGGGTGAGAGGGGGGGGGGGGGAGGCGTGGCTGCACCCGGGCAGCCGCGGAAGCCCTCGTTGATGCCGTCGATGCTCGGGGCAAAGTCTTTGAAGTAGTAGACGCCGGGGTCGGCGGTGTGAGCGGCTATGCGGGTTGAGGACGAGGTGAGGAGAGGCAGTTGAGGACGAGGTGAGGAGAGGCAGTTGAGGGCGAGGTGAGAGGCAGAAGGTGCTAGGGTGAGAGGGAGGTCCGGGCGAGTCAGGTCTCCACCTTGAATCTTGGTCGTGATGACGGACCACCTGAAGACGCCGACGCGGGGCGCGGGCGTGCGGCGGAAAGCCCCCATGCGGGACGGGGCGAGGGCGGCGGCGGGCTCAGGGTGGGGAGGCAGGTGACTCCGCACACATGAGCCAGACGGCAAAGCCCATGAGGAGGTTCGGGACGGAGGCCCAGAGGTTGCGCGTGGCGATGTTGAGGCCCTCCTTTTCGTAAAACTCCTTGTCCTCGATGTCCCACTCCTGTTGTTCATCGGGAGAGGGCGTGTCGAGTCCGCGATGAAGGGGTGGCGGCCTGTGAAGCCGACGCGCGCCTCAAGCGTAACGCCTCCAGTCAAGGGCTGTGCCTTGCAGTGGCCGACCGACTTGGGATTCTTGATCGTGTACTTGCCCGCCTCCTCTGCCATTTCGAACGACCTGTCGGAGGTGGTGGCGGCTGAGGGGCGCGAGGGCGATGCGATGGGCGAAGGGCGCTCTCGGCGTTTGCGGCGGCGATGAGGGGCTGAGGAGGTATGGGGCGGGCTGTTGTGGACGGTGATGCGCGGATGGCGAGCAAATGTGGTGGGCTGGCGACGCGGAGGACGCGACACAGCAAAGGCGGCGCCTGTCTTGGTGGTAGCAGGCACTAGGCACCCTGAGTTGACGTTCGCCGACAGTTCTCTCGTTCCCCCGCTCTCGTAATGAATGTAGGCGCGAGATCAATCAATCAAGCGCGAGACACAGTAATGTCCTGGAACCGTCCGCCGCAAGTTTCTTTTTTAGTGAGGGAGTCCGTAGCAGAGGAGGGCGTCCATAGACACCTCACTAGACCCCAACGGTCTCGTCCGTGCCTCGCCGGGCGGCGAGATTGCTAGAGGTGGAGCAAGCCTGCTCTAGCCTCGCATGTCACTTCCTGTCGTCTGTTGTTGTGCCCTTGTTTGTTCCTTTGGCACCTTGGAGTGCTGGGGGGGGCGACAGGGGGGATGTGGCCCTCTGGGGGGGCGCGGGGGCCCCCGGAGGCACCGTGCGCCGCGCAGCAGTGCGGAAACGGGGCTCCGGCGCTCAGAGTCGCTCAGAGCACCAACTTCCCGAATGAGTACGGTTGAGTAGAGGGCAGATTTGGAGAGATCTCGAGGAGTACATACAGATAGACCCTCCAACCATCAGAAAACTCCAACCTGATCGGTCGTACTGACCGCCGACAGATCACTCCAGACAGCAGACAGGCCGACGTCTGCACGCGGCCGGCCGGGCGAGAGGCTTGACACGATCCGACCCTGCGAGACCCTGACGCTGCTGCTAGCTATCAGACATGCACTGCTGACTGCTGCCACAATGTGCGACCTGCGCTGGCCCACTTGGCAGCCTTCCCGGTCAGTGGTGAGGCGCAGTTCAGAGCTGTCGATGGCGCGTCCGATGCCGCACTGGTCCCACATTGGTGACACGAGACCACCAAGTTTGCCGGTCCAAGAGAGAGGCACTGGTGCTGTCCTGAGAAGGTGCGTGGTCCCTCTTGACTGCCCATGCGCGCGAGGCTGTGTAGGCATAGCCTCGAGAGTGCCAGCAGCCAGTCGCCGAGGCAGTTTGTGACGCGCATTGCGTCAGAAGCGTGCACGCGCTGGAAGGACACCTTCCTACTGGCCGTACGATCAGGTCGTCACTGAATGGTGGATACTAAGGCCGCGAGCTATGCAGGTGGTCAATTGTGCAGCAGGGCACGGTCAGCAGCGCCGACAGGCTGTCGCAAGGCGTGATAGCATGGCCGCAAGTACAAGTCCGCCGAATTTAAGATTTTAGAGGCCGGCCGCAGGCCGGCGATTTTCAGATTTTAGACCAAGATTTTAGAGCTCTGGAGCGCATTTTTGCAAGATTTTAGCTGTAAATTCACACATTTTCAAGATTTTACAGCTCACGGCCGCCCCGCCTTCAAATCTTAAATTCGGCTGGTTTGTACGGCGAATTCCTCTGAAAACAAGTAAAAAATCGAAAAAAGAAAAAAGTCCCGGACCCCATCTCCCCCCGCATGGATACCCTCTAGGGCCCCCGCCTCCCCCCAGAGCCGGGGTGGCAAGAAGGGCGCATCGCAAGCAGCGACTTTATTTATGTACAGCTCTCATCGCCACATGACGTGGCTAATCACGAGCGGCGGTGGCGGCGGCGCCACCTCCTCGTCTGTGTGGTGCGCACGGGCCGCGCGCACCGCGAGCTCGACGGTAGTCCCTGCGCCGGCACTGGCGAGCTCCGGCGCGCGCACGATGCTGCCGCCACGGAGGGTACCGGTCGGCTCGCACGCGGTGACCTTCTTGCCATTGAGACGGAGCTCCGCATTCGGCACGCCACTGTAGTTCTTGCCCTTCAGCAGCACGGTGCCCCAGTCGCTCGCGCCGCAGTTGATGACGTTCGGCGAGACGCCCCATCCGTTGAGGATGAAGACGCCGAGGCGCACACGCGGGAGCTGCAGCACCAGCCAGCCCGAGGCGTGGTCGCCGCTGTAGTAGCCACGGCCAAACGTCTGCCCCGAGGCGGGGCACAGTCCGCCTTTTCCGGACCCGCCGTCCGTGTGGTTCCACCGCCCGCCCTTCCGCGAGACGAACTCCGCCGGGTCGTCGCCCACGACGAGGTCGCTGATGGACGCGCCGACGCGCGGCGCGAACTCAGTCGCACACTCATACGTGACGTGGCAGCCGAGGCTGTCGAAGGCAGGCGACGTCGCACACGACGAGTTGGCCAGCGATAGAATGGAGGCGGCGGCGGCCGCCTGGTCCTCGAGCAGCGGCGCCGCGTGCCACGCCTCCGACGCCAACGGCAGCGCGCCGACCGAGGCTTCCTGCTGGAAGGTGGTAAGCGCCTGCTCCAGTAGGTCGAGGAACATCGCCCCCGCCATGTGCCCGCGGATCCGGTGCTCGCGCCACCCTGGGTGCCACGACGCCGCTCCGGGGCACGCCGCACCGTGCTTGCCGTTGCCGGTTGCTTTCGCCGTTGCGTAGTCGTCCCAGCAGTGGCAGTCGTAGGCGTACTTGCGGCACGTGTCCGAGAGCAGCTGGTTGTTTTGGGCGCGGCAGTGCAGGAAACGCACGCCCGGCGGCAATGAGGCGAGCGCTTGCTCCGCGGAGGTGGTCGTGTGCGGCGAGGTGCCGCCGGTCTCTCCCGCCGGCTGCCACGCGACGGCAGCGCCGGAGACGCCCGCCACGTGGTAGCCGCGCTGCTCGTACACGCGCAGGAGCCGCCACAGGTCAAACTTCTCTGATGGGTAGGAGTTGCTGCCGCCGCTGCCGCCGCTGCCGCCGCTGCCGCCGCTGCCGCCGCTGCCGCCGCTGCCGCCGCTGCCGCCGCTGCCGCCGCTGGCCATCATGGGCGGCGGGCAGGCGGCGGGGCCCGCGGCCTTGGTGATGGGCTGGAAGCCCACGAGGAGCGGCCGGCGCGGCTGCATCATCGCCTGCCGAAAGAAGTAGTCCATCTCGTGCGGCGAGCCCGCCGTCATCGCATAGTCCCACAGCACGGCGTCGGCGTCCGCGCCGTACGCCGCCGCGAAGCACGACGCGCGGTGGTGTGAGGGCAGGCCGCCCATGGCGTGATTGCGCGTGACGAGCTCGACGCCCACCGCAGCGAGTGGCGGCGCCAGCAGCGAGTGTAGCCAGTGCGTGTACGACTGGTTGAAGTGGTTACCGGAGGCCTGGGCGGCGGAGTGGCCGGCGAGCACGATCGTGTACGGCGCGGAGGTGACGACTGCGTGTAGGAGGCGCCGCACGGTGCCCGCGCGCGCCGCCTGCGAGATGAACGTCGGCACGCCGTACGCGCAGCTCGACGCGACCGACGCGACCCGGCCGTAATAATCGCCGTACGTGGCCTTGAGCTCAGCTCGCGCGTCGGCGATCTTGCGCAGCCCGCGATCGAGCAGATGGTTCACCTGGTGCGCGTTCGTCTGCCATGCGCTGTCTGTCGGGAACTCGGCCACGTCGCCCCACGGCGCACGCAAGATTGGCGCCGGTCCGAATGGCTCGCGGTCGTCCATGCTGTGCAAGCGGCCGCCGCCCAAGCCAGCCTCACGCGGAGCACGCGAATGCGCGGTTTGCTGGCTCTCGAGCAGATACTCGGGACCGGCCCAAGCGTTGGTAGGTGGCGGGCCGCGTGCGCTCACCCGCATGGATGCCATGCTCTCGTTTGTGCAGCCATTGGCGCAGTCTCCGGGAGCATGCATCTCTGCACTGAGCTTGGACTGTACATCCTCAGCATCCGCCATTGCATTCACGTGCCCGCCTTGCTTGTACGTACTTATAGCTTACTGGGAGAAAAGAGAGAGGGGGTTGTGTTCTCTAGGCCCCTAAGGGCCCTACGCGCGGCGTGAGAGCTCGGAAGCGAGCTTTGCGAAAGAAAGAAAGAAAGAAAACAGACAACCCAAGGGAGGGATGGGAGGACGGCACGCCGCCACCACACAGGGATTTTAAGGAGAGGTGTGTGGTGCGCTAGCCGTCGCCCACCCTAGGGAGTCTGCCTCTTCCTATTCATGAGTGACGCAGGGTCTGGGTGGAATTGGCGATTTTTTTGGCCTCGTTCGACCTATAACGAGCCAGCCGCCTCACGCGCACCGCCACACGAACATCCCCACTACATACCTCCCCGGGTCATGTCCAAGAACCCGAACGCGTCGAACCCGTCCGCGTTCCTCAAGAACGTGCTCGGCCGCCCGGTCGTGGTCAAGCTCAACTCGGGCGTCGACTACCGCGGCGTTCTCGCGTGCCTCGACGGCTTCATGAACATTGCGATGGAGCAGACGGAGGAGTACCACAATGGCCAGCTCAAGGCTAAGTACGGCGACGCCTTCATCCGCGGCAACAACGTGCTCTATATTAGCACGCTGAAGAGAAAGCCCGCGTGATCTCCGTGCTGAGGCGTGGCGCGTCGGCCGCGGGTGAGGAACTCACAGTCCACGTCGATGCTGGCTGCTCGTGCTGCCTCGATGATCTGCACGCGGCATCCTTGCGCGGGAGCGCGTGTGCTCTCACACCACCGGCGCCCGGCCTCCCGGCCGTGTGCATCTGTGTCGGCACTCGCAACTGCCAACTCCCGCACCTCGGCAGTTGTGGTGCCACTGAGTTGCGTGCAGCGTGGTCCTTTGAACCTCCCCCGGGGCACACGAGAGGACCGCCCCTGCCCCGGACCCATACGTCCCGCATGCGCGCGCAATTTTGGTAAAACTCGTAAACTGCAAATGATAAGAGCGACGCCCCGACCGACGCGCGACGCCCGCAGAGTAAGTCGAGACAAACGGTGTGGCGTGTGCGAAAACTAGACAGAGTTCGGAGCGAGCGAGCGAGACAGCCGACAGCGGACAGGGACCGAATATGCAGGGGAGTGTATGGGCCATCTCTCTCCGTGGGCGCTCCGGTCCGGGGGACGACCCCCGTGCACCGGCCCCGCGCTCCTTGCGCCGCACGGCGAGCCAGGGTTGAGGACTGAGCCTGTAAGCGTGTCGCGGCGCCGTCAGGACACGGAGCACTGTTCGGGGGGGGGAGGGTGGGGAGGTTCAGGGGAGCGCGAGCCCAGGCCCCGCTGCCGACGGCCGCGTAGGCTCCTAGCCGCCGCCATGAGAGTAGGGACGCGCCCCCCCCCCCGCCCCCCCTCCCCCCCCACCTCTGCCCCCCCGCGCGCCCCGCCTCGCAGACTGGTTCCTCCTCACAGCGCGTCGAAGGCGGCCTCGTCGACGGAGAGGACGCCGACCGTCCGGCCGTCGAACTTTCGGCCGGAGAGGGACGCGATCGCGGCGGCGGCGGCCTCGAGGCTCTCAAAGCGGACGTATGCGCAGCAGTCCGGGTTGGCGTCCGCGGGCACCTTGACCCCGAGCAGCTTGCCGAACCGGGCGCACTCCTCCGTCACGTCCTCCTTGAGGCCCTCCCGCTCCTCCGGGTCGGCGAGCTCCGCCGGGGTGAGCATGTTGCTGCACGAGATGACGGTGCTCGTGCACGCGGGCGCGCCGCCCGCGCCGGCCGCGCCGGCTCCTGCGCCGGCCCCGGCGGCGAGCTGGGCGGTCATCGCGGACAGCGCCGCGGGCGTCGGCATCGGACCAACCCCCGCGAGGGCGGCCGCCGCGGCGAGTGCGCGCGAGGCCGCATCCTCCCCGGTCACGACGCCCGTGCTGCCTCCCCCAGAGGCCTGCGGCGCGAGGCCGGGCGCGTCGGCGGCGTTGGCGACGGGGACCTGGTAGTTGTTTGGGCGGGAGATGCGCAGGGCGGAGGTGAGCAGCATGATGCCGTTGAGCCCAAGCGCGAGGTTTGCGATGTCGGGGCTCTGGAACTCGACGAATGCGTACGTCCCCTAGGGGGGGCAGCCCTCGCGTCTCCACGTCTAACGACAGGAGCCCCACGGCATTCAAAGTGCAAGGCCCGTTGCGCGTGGGTGAGCGGTGTGTGTGTGTGTGTGTGTGTGTGTGTGTGTGTGTGTGTGTGTGTGTGTGTGTGTGTGTGTGTGTGTGTGTGTGTGTGTGTGTGTGTGTGTGCGTCACCTCGGGCGAGAGCCAGACCGAGAGGACGGGGTCAGGCGCCTCCTGCGCAATCAGGCCGCGCTGCTTCATGGCGGTGGAGACGAACTCGGAGAGCTGCTTGTCCGCCAGCCCCGCGCCGATGGGCAGGTTGCCCACGTACAGCCGCCGGTCCTTGCGCGTCGCCTGCCCCATCAGCGGCGCCGAGTCGGCCTCGTTCTTCTCGACGTCGACCCACTGGAAGCCGTCCCAAAAGCGGGCCGGCTTGTTGTCGGCCGGCGCCGCCGGCTTCTTCTTGCGCACGGGCGAGGGGCTGTAGCTCCGCGACCTCCCCCCATAGCTCCGCGTGAAGTCGCCGCGCGGCGGCGAGCTGCCGCGCCGCCGGTCGTCGCGGTGGCGCGGCGGAGGCGAGCGCCGCCTGCCATGGTCGCGGTAGCGAGGAGGCGAGCGGCGGCGGTCGTCGCGGTAGCGCGGCGGCGAGCGGCGCCGGTCGTCGCGGTAGTCGCGGTAGCGTGGCGGCGAGCGGCGCCGGTCGTCGCGGCGCCGGTCGTAGCTCGGGCTCCTGCTGCGGCGGCGCGGGCTGCGGCTGCGGCTGCGACGGTCGTCTGCGCGGCCGCGCGAGCCAGCGCGGCCGCGCGAGCCGGAGCCGCGGCCGGGCGAGACCTCTGACGCCTTGGCCGCCTCTGCCGCGCTGTTGCCGTTTGCGGGCTCGCCCTCAGCGTCAGCGCCGTCTCCCTCCTTGGAGCGGTGCTTCTTGTGCTTCTTGCGCTTCTTCTTGTGCTCGCCGCCTCCCTCGTCGGCGGGATCCTCCACTGGAGGGGGCTCCGACATGTCTGCCTCTCTGCGCTGGGCGCAGCGTGGTGCTTGTGTGGTGTGAAGATCACAACGCGGGCTGTGAACAGGACCACCGAGAGAGAGAGAGAGAGAGAGAAAACCGCCAATGGCCGTTATCCGTTAGTGCGGACGTCGCCGCGGCTCGCCTCTGCCGCGGCGGCTGCTGCGCGCACGCGGCGGCGCCGCTCTCTCGCGAGACGGCTGGCGACGCGGCTCGCCGCCGTGTTATGAGAAGAAAATACGTTATGCCGCTATGCGCTGGTCTGTGAGAGGTTGAGGTGCGAGCCCTGGAGGCCCTGGGGATGGGGGGAGACTGAGGGCCCAACTTCAGAATCGAGAGAGAGAATCTCTCTCTCTCTCTCTCTCTCTTCAGAATCGTGCTTTCTGGGTTGGGTTGTTGGGTTGGGTCGGTGTCGGCTCCTGACTTGGCCGTGCGACGCCGCACCGACTGGATCGCTGTGACTTATGCCGAAGATTACGGAGGCGCTCGCGCGCGCCCATGTTGTCACGCACCCAGCACCCTGTAACGCCTCCTTCCCTCCGCAACCGTGCGCAGGGCGTGCAGTTCCCTACCGGCCCCGAGGGCAAGCGCTCGACGCTCGCGACCGGCGTTGCTGTCTTTGCTGCGGCGGCGGCGCCGGCGGGCGAGGAGCTGGCCGGTGCGATCCGCAAGGCGCGGAAGACGTGGCGACAGGAGTACCCGGAGATGCTCACGCGCCTCGTCGAGGCGCAGTCCTACTCTGCGCAGCGCGCCATTGCGATCGCCGAGGCGGGGCTCGCTGAGATCTACTCGACGTTCGAGTTTGTGCGAGGCGGCGAGGTGGTCGGGGTGGAGGCGGCGATGGCGGCGCCGTCGGCGGCGCGCGCGCTGCACACCGCCACGGTCGCGGGCAGCGGCGCCCTGCCAACCTCCCTCTCGGTGCCGTACTTTGGAGACAGCCTCTCCGACCAAGTACTCGTCGACCAAGTCAACGCCTGGGCCGACTATGGCGCTCTCGAGCCCGCGGGGGCGGCCGCGCTGTGCGCGGTGGCTGGACCCGCCGGGTGGCGCGGCCTTGCTGACCGATTCGCAAGATCAATCGACGAAACCTGTAGGTGGCAAACTCGGCTGAGTGGCGCGATCTGCGCGGCCGCACCTTCGTCGCGCTCGGCGCCGCTCTTCGTAGACCTTTCGCAGACATGGGAGCGACACAGAGACACACGCCGACGCTTGGCATGCGGGCGGGCCTCCAAACAGAAGTATCAGCCGGCGTGTATTTCTTTTCACAGGCGCGACCGCCGAGCTGGGCCCGCTCGCGCTGCTACTGCAGTGCGGCGCAACCGTCGTCGCCGTCGCGCGAGGCAAGCCTGACACACACACACACACATGCACACATGCACACATGCACACATGCACGCGCGCGCGCGCACACACACACACACACCACTCCACACCACACACGCACGCACGCACGCACGCACGCACACACGCACGCACACACACGCACGCACACGCACGCACGCACGCACAATCTCCCGCAATCTCCCACAATCTCCCTCAGGCAAGCCTGCCAAGTGGGCGGAGCTGGTCTCCATGGCGCGCGCCAGCGCCGGGACACTGGTCGTGCCGCTCAAGCGGCCCGCGAGCTATGAACAGCGTCTCTTCACGGCTGGCGGTGTGAACAGGTCGTGCCGCTCAAGCGGCCCGCGAGCTCGGACGAGGAGATCGCCGCTGCCGCCGGCGCGGATCTTCTGACGGAGACGCCCGAGCTCGCAGCGTGGCTCGCGGAGACGCTGCCGGCGCTGCCCAAGGGGGCGACAGTCGGGACCTACACGTACCTCGACGGCGAGCTGCAACCACCCACACGCTGCCGCGTCCCGCACAACCCCCCACTGTCTCGACACGCCTCCCGCACCCTCCCGCACCCTCCCGCACCCTCCCGCACCCTCCCGCTCCAACCCGCTCCAACCCGCTCCAACCCGCACCCTCCCGCTCCAACCCGCACCCTCCCGCACCCTCCCGCTCCAACCCGCACCCTCCCGCTCCAACCCGCTCCAACCCGCTCCAACCCGCACCCTCCCGCTCCAACCCGCTCCAACCCGCACCCTCCCGCTCCAACCCGCTCCAACCCGCACCCTCCCGCTCCAACCCGCTCCAACCCGCACCCTCCCGCTCCAACCCGCACCCTCCCGCACCCTCCCGCTCCAACCCGCACCCTCCCGCACCCTCCCGCTCCAACCCGCACCCTCCCGCTCCAACCCGCTCCAACCCGCTCCAACCCGCACCCTCCCGCTCCAACCCGCAGGGGAGCTGAACGTGCGCATCTCGCTCGCGTGCGACCTGGTCTGCTCGTCCCTTGTCGCGAAGGGCTTGTGCGCCGGCTTGGCCTTTGTGCAGACTCCCTCGCAGGCCTTCCTTCTCCCCGCCGGATGCACCGAGGCGTGCGACGAGTCGTACGCCTCCAGCTACTTGCGGCTCCTCCGCTACGAGCCGAACGCGCGCCCCGCCGCGCCCGTCGCGGATGGCGAGCCGACGCGCCACGCGCATGACGGGTACGTCCCGCACATCCCGCACTCTCCCGCAATCTCCCGCAATCTCCCGCAATCTCCCGCAATCTCCCGCACTCTCCCGCACCCTCCCGCACTCTCCCGCACCCTCCCGCACTCTCCCGCACTCTCCCACAGGTACGTGCCGATGCAGGGGCCAAACTACGCCCTCGCAAAGGCGATCGCCCACTGGGCCATAGTCGCAGACTCAGTCGAATCGCGCGTCCGGGGGCTTTAGTGAACGGGCCAGTTTTGCGGGAGGTTGCGGGAGGTTGCGGGAGGTTGGTCGGGCATGGAGCGGGGACCCGTCATGCGCGTGGCCGTGGGAGATTGAGGGAGATTGTGGGCGATTGCGGGACGCCGCTCTTTTGAACTCAGGGCGCCCACTGGCCTGGTGCTAGGCGATCAACAACTGGCGCGCGGTGCTCGCGCGCTCGCGCGACGGTACCAACACGAGATCATACAAATGCCCAGTCAGTATGTCAAGCAACACACCACCACAAGCCACACAAGACACACGCCCCACAACAGCAGCGCCACACAATCCCGGCCTAGACACACTTCCGAGACTCCGTCGACACCTTCCACACACTTCGTAGACACTTCCTAGGCCTCAACCGTCTTGTGGCTGTGGCAGATTGCGGGAGATTGCGGGAGATTGCGGGAGATTGCGGGAGATTGCGGGGTACTCCTAGGCCTCACGGTCTCGTCGAACGTCGCGCCCGCCTGCCGCACTGCGTCCATGGTTGCGGGCGACAACAAGAATGCTCGCGCCGTCGCGGCCGCATTGGCGGGAATGGGCAGACGCTTCTTCCGCCCGACACCTCGTCCTCCGCTTGCGGCGACGCCTGGACACCGCGCGCGCGTGCGCCTCTTCTAGGCGATTTCCGGCCGACGATGGTCGTCTCAGACACGTCGCAGGCACGTCCCAGACATCTCCTAGACACTTCCTAGGCAACTTCCGGCCGATGCTCGTCTTTAACGCGGAGACCGTCGCTGTGCTGATGGGCATGCTCCCTCCTCCCCGGCGTCGCAGGCACTCACCCGAGACACTCCCCAGCACACACTTCCCGGACACTCCCTAGGCATGCTGCTCATCCACGACGTCCGCAACCCTGCGTCGGTCGCGGAGCGCCTCAACGTAGACACTTCCTAGACACTTCCCAGACGGGTCCTAGACACTTCCTAGGTCGCGAGCCCCTCTACCCCGCTTGGCCACCCGCTCGAGCTGCTCTCGGCGCAAGCCTTCCACGGCGGCTCCTTCCGCGTCGGCGTCAAGCCCGCCGCCCTCGGCCGCCTCTTTGCCATCACGGGCTTTCTCTTCCCGTCTGACCCGCGCCCAACCTCGGCTGGCCAGCTGCAGCGGGGGAGCAGCGCCGAGTCGGTGGCGTGAGACTCGAGGCGGACGGCGAGGCTTCGGGGGCGGGCAGGCGGTAAGGCGTAGCCGGGCGGCGGAGAGCTGGGCCAGCTGGCGCTGGGGCGGCTGGGCCAGCTGGGGCAGCCTCGGGTAGCTTGCGGGTGTCCACCGTCCGCCAGCTACGGTCGAGCGCGTTGGGTTTGGGGTGAGCGCGTGCGGGCGGTGGACGGACGAGAGTGCGAGCGTCTCGACCATGAGCGACGGGGTTCCAAGCGTTGGGACACACGCGGCGCGCGGCGCCGTGACGTTGTGAGGAGACGCCTCCCGGCGAACGACGTGCTGCGTGTGCAGTGGCAGAGCCTTCAAAGGAAGTGAAGGGCCGTGCTGGTGTGGGGAGGGTGTGTTTGGGGGGTGGTTGGAACACTACGAGACTGCCACGCTGCCGGCGCTCGTGCTGCCCGCGCTACCCTCGCTCCCAAACACCGAGCGCGAACGGCACTAACACCGAAATGCGAGCACCGCGAACGAAACGGTCGGCACCGAAAATGGACGCGCGACGGAGGCCGCGGACCGCTCCGGCGGCGGCGGCGCCCGAGGTGCGACAGTGGCGCCAGGCCAGCACGAGCGGCCTCGGCCTCGACCCTGACCGCCGCCTCGTCGGCGTGCGTCACCAGGCGCAGGCCGCCTGTAGCATTGCGCCGCCGCCAACGCTCACAGCCCCCCTCGCCGCCGTTTGCGCAGGAGCACCAACACTGGCTGGACATGTGCCGGCGATTGGAGGCGAGCGAGAAGCGCCGGGCTGCTGCCAGGGCGAGGGGGGACGCAGCACGGACACGTTACGCGCACGAGCAGCGGCTCAAGGTGTGGTGATTGAATTCCGGCCACCAAGAGAGATCATCTTACAATCACACCGCGGACAGCAACCGACGTCGACCCACGCGCCCCACACAGGCGCAGGCGTGGGCGGTGCGCTCGAGGAGAATGCGGACGCTGGCCGCCGCCGCTGAGGCGGAGGCAGAGGCGGGCGAGGAGGTGCTCAGCAGCGCGGCGCTCTTGCACAACATCAGTGACTCGATCCTATTGACGGGCCGCGCGTGCTCCCCTCCTTCCCCCTTCCGCAGCCGCTCTCGGGATGCCTTGCCGCTGCACCGGGGCACCGGACGCGTCTGACAAGAGAGAGTCGGGCGCGCCCTTTCTGGAGGGCATTTCGTGTACGCCGTATAAAAAACGCGCGCGCACATGCGTACAGGTCCGCTGCAGGCACGAGAGTTTGCTTGCGAGCAGGTCAAAATGACATCCGTGGCTTCTCCCCTTCTGTGTGAATGGGCAGCTTGAGCTTGGGCAGCTTGGGAAGCTTTATCCGACGGAAAGGATTCCACCCCGTCTGGTTCCCCTCACGGCTGCGGCGTCTTCTGCTCTTCTTGGCCTCGGCTTGCCCTTGCCGGGCGGGGCGCAGTCGCAAGCTTGTGGACGGCTTTGCGTCGAGCTGCGTGGCGTTCTCGGAGGCATGCACCCGCCGCCATGACGACTTAGCCCTGTCCTTCCCATCACGGCTGGGGCGCCGCTTCTTCACCTTGGCTGGGGTGGTGCTGACGGCCTCGGAGTGGTTCCGAACCGCGCGGAGGTTGCACACGGGCGGCTTGCGCGCCTCCTCGAGCGCACTGGCCGATGGCTTGGGCTGCACCCACTCGGTCCTGCAGTGCGGTGCCGGAGAGGGGTCGCGGGGTCAGAGGCATCAAGGCGCATGCTCGCGCTCGGATTCGGCGCGCGCGCTTGCCTGGGCGAACCACACTCGTAGCCGCAGATTCGATGCTTCTGCGAGCGCGCCAGCCGAAGGCAGTTGTCGTAGTATTTCCACGGCGATTCCGGCTTCGAAACGCCGTGGAGTACAGGTGAGCCATCCTTGACGTCAGCGCTGATGCGGGAGGAACCAGCCGCTGGCGTGAGGTGTGAGCACCCGAAGGGGGGCAGCCAGCGCCGCGCACCTGGCGGGTTCGCCGTTGGAGCGTATCCGGACGACGCACATGCGGGTCGTCTCGATCGCCACCCCAGAGGTTCGCACCTTTCCATCAAGCTAACGGTGACGGCGCCCTCGCCAACGGTCCAGGGAAGGACGAGGGCGGGCCTGGCATCGTGCCATGTGCATACAGAGGAGCCGCTCCGTGTTCCACACCTATTTCCAAATGGCGAGAGGCGGTATTGGCCGAAAAGGCGAGGCCCACTCGGGACGCACGCGCAAGACGTTCTGAAAGCTGCTCTTCCACGCCGCCGGATACCGCGACATGTAGCAGTGTATCATTGAGCGCGCGTCGCCTAGTCGCAAATTGCGCCTGGGATGGACGCCTCCTGTCCCGCGATCGGCCAGTCTCGTGAGGGAGGACGCCAAACGCGAGGCGGTCGTTGAGGCCCCAAAAGTGCTTGTAGTTGGGCACGCGAATGGTCGGGCGGCCGGCGGTGGCTTGCAGCTCCGCCAGCCACTGCGTTGGCGAGACTGGCGAGTAGAAGCCGGTGTCAGGCCGTGCAGCGACAACGTGCGTGTAGCGGAAGTCCTTGTTGGCGATCCGAGAGACGTGCTCGTGCGAAAGCACCTGCCGGGAGGCGGTGTGGTGCTGGCTGGCTCGGGTCGGGAGGACGCTCGAGCTGTTGGGAGAAGCGCGCCAGGCGAGAGACTCTCCACAGGCTATAGTGGGCCCGGAGTGCATTCATCCGGGTGAGCTGGTCGTAGTCCTTTTCGGCCTTCCCTCGCCATTTCGCCGCCAGCTGCTCTAGCTCTGCGTCAGCGTCGACGAGGTCCTGGTCCTGCGGAGGGCGGAGCGGACGGTGGCTATTGGGCGGGTCCCTCGCTGGTGTGGTTTGACTCTGGAGTGCCGTGGCGCCTCGGCCACGAAGCGGCACGGTCGCAGCTCAGCGAACGCGAGCCGCTGTGGCGCGCCACCGCCCGACTCCTCGCTCCGCGTGTTTACGAGGCTGTTCACCTGTCACAAGAGAGGGGTCGCGAGTACGTGACTTGCGCGCGGACGAGGGATGGAGCTTGGCCCGGCGAGCTCACCACCATCGCATGGACAAATACATCCGTCGCGCCTGACGACGGTGAGGGCTCAACGCCACGCTGTCGCTGCCTGTGCCACCCTGAGGGCCGCCTCGCACCGTTTGTCGCTGCCCGCAGCGGGCGCAGCAGGTTGGCGCGGATGGTCGGCAGCGACACTGTCATATTGCGCGAGAGGCCGAAAAAGCACACCTGGTCGCGACGGCCGTCCACATACTGAATTGGACCAGGCGGGAGCGTGTGTCGGCAAGATCTATCCCTTCTGGGATGCCCGCACCGCGACGCGAAGACCAGCAACCTCGGGCCCGCTGCAGCGTGCGTCGCCGTCGTGGTCTGCTGGGCGGCTCTGGTTGCCAACCGTGGCCTCTCGCCCCATGAGGATCGCTGCAGACATATATCCGAATGCGTCAGCGTGGCGCTGGACGTGCGACTTTCACGATCGACGTTGGGTGCGACTTTTGGACGCGACCGAAGCGTGCCGTTTGTAGCTATCTTGTGGCGTGGGCCGCCCTCGTCGAGCGGTGCTCTTCGTGTCGATCGATTGACAAGCGTCAAGCCGCCGGCTTGTGCTTGTGCATGTGCATGTGCACGTGCATGCCATGCATGTATGTAGCGAGCGCTCTTGCGCACGCAGGCTGTTAATAGTTAGCGTGACCTGACTGATTGATTGATCACCTGAATGCCACCCGTCTCTCTCTCTCTCTCTCTCTCTCTCTCTCTCTCTCTCTCTCTCTCTCTCTCTCTCTCTCTCTCTCTCTTCCCCTGAACAAATCTCTCTCTCTGTCTCTCTCTCTCTCTCTCTCTCTCTCTCTCTCTCTCTCTCTCTCTCTCTCTCTCTCCTGCCTGGATCCCCCGGGGGGATGTGAGGATGTCACCCTTGACGAAATCTTTGCCCCGCTCTCCTTTCCACATACCTTATTGGTCAAACTCGCATGGACCATGGTGACGTTTTGTTTTGTCGGCTCGTGTGTGGTTATAAAATGAACTCGGGGGCACGGGACGCGGCACAAACGGGGCACAAACGCCAGGCTACAAAGACGGGGAGGCACGTAGTGACGCTCGTGTGTGGTGTGTATGTATCGAAGGTGAAGAACAGCTTCCGCAAAAAAAAGAAAACACCCGCCAGCTTTTCAAAGGCTCGCCGCAGGGTCGCGACCCTGGCCTCCGCCGCGCCGCCGCCCTCCCCTCCGCCGCCGCTACCTCCTCCCCGACGCCACCCCTCTCTCCTCCGCCCTGCCTCGCGATCTCCTCCAGCCTCCGTCCCCTGCCTTCACCCCACCGCCGGCCCACCGTCGCTCGCCGCAGGCACTAGTACACGAGAAGAGCCACCTGCCAGCCATGTCCACGCCGACGCGCCCGCTCGGTGCGCGCAAGACCACCAACAACAAGCCCTCGCCATGGGCCCTGAACCAGAAGTCGGACCGCTTCGGCGGCCCCGGATCGATCTACAAGCCCGCCGCCGGCACCGGCATCGAGCGCTCATCGCCAGCGCCCACAAAGACGCCGGGCAAGGCGACCCCTGGGTCGCGCAACGCGCGCACGCCGTCGGGAGCCGGCCGCCCCACGCCCAACATGGCCAGCAAGACGGACCGCTTCGCGATGCCGGGCGGCGTGTACAAGCAGTCCGACTCGCCGGCGCCCTCGGCGTACGCGGCCAAGCCGCTCAAGCCGTCGGGCCCGACGGTCTCGCTCGTCCAGAAGATGCATCGGCGGCGGCAGTCGCGCGGCCTCTGGGCCGACGCCGTCGCCAAGGCCAGCGGCGACGGCCCGACGTACTACAACCCGTCGGCGCTCGCAAAGGCGTCGGTGCAGAAGGAGGTGCGGACGCTTCTCAGACGCCTCCACTGCCACGCGCGTTCCAGAAGGAGGGCGGATCGAGCCTCGCCTCGCTCCCGCGGAGACCCCTCCCCCCCCTCCGTCACTGGGGCCACCCGCACCTCAGTTCCTCCCGTTCGGTGCCCAGGTGTCTGCTCAGTACAAGGACGGACGCGGCCGCTTCGAGACGCACGACAGCGTGTACGCCGCGCCGGCGACGCCGGCGATCGGGCAGTACGAGACGGCGGTGAACATTGGCTCCTCCAAGTCGTCCACCGTCTCGTACGCAAGGGCGCGGCCCGGCCGCTTCGAGGCGCACGACACCATCTACGCCAAGCCCGCCACGCCCGGCATCGGCGAGTACGAGACCGCGGTGCATATGGCCTCCACAAAGTCGTCCACAGTCTCGTACGCCACGGCCAAGGAGGGCCGCTTCGAAGGGCGCGACACCATCTACGCCAAGCCGGCCACGCCCGGCATCGGCGAGTACGAGACCGCGGTGCCATTCAACATCGGCTCCTCCAAGTCGTCCACGATCTCGTACGCAAAGGCACGTCCCCATGCACACTCTCGCACCTGCGCGCACACGCCAACACACGCGCCGCAAGATACGATGTAAACGCCTCTACGCACCCTGCACTCGCAACCCCTGCCCCCGCATCCCCCCCCCCCCACACACACACATACACACACCTTCCCTGTTTCAGGAGCCGCGGCGCCAGTCGCGCGGCATCTGGGCCTCCAACGCCAAGCACGAGGGCAGCCTGCCGCCGGCTCTCAAGTACGCGGACGCCGCCCCCTCGGCGCTCGCAAAGGCATCGGTGCAGAAGGATGCGGCGTCGGCCTGGTCCAAGAAGGACCCCAACGGCCGCTTCGGCGGCCACGGCTCTCTGTACGCGCCTCCGAGCGCACTCGCCGGCCTCAAGCCGTCGCCGCAGCGCGCCGCGCCGCCAGGGGCCCGCCCGGCGCCCGCGGCGTCGCCGGCGGGGCAAAAGTACTCCGTGGGTGGCACCGCCGTCGACGTGTACGAGCCGGCGAAGATCGAGGCCTTCCCTTCCCCGCAGCAGCCGATCGAGGCGGCGCCGGACAACGAGCCGCCAGTCGAGGCACCGCCCCTCGCGCCTGCGCCGGCCGACGACGGCGACGCAGAGTGCGACGCGATGGCGGAGGGCGAGAGGCTGTTCGCGCGCCTCTCGCGCGTCTCCACCGCGCGCGTGTCGCGCAATGACTACTACGATGCCAAGCTCGGCTGGGACGTCGAGGGCCTCCAGGCGCGGCTGATCCCTGCCGCCTCTGCTCGCACCCGCCTCTGCTCGTTGCCACCACTCTTCCACCTCTCTTCGCTGCCAGCTCTCTTCCCTGCGCCCCCGCCACTCCGCTGCACCACCCACCAAGACCGAGACCCACGCCCGCCCTCCCACCCGCCGAGCGAACTCACGACCCCCTCTCTGATGCCGCAGGAGGACCTCGAGATCGAGCATCAGGCCGCCGAGGAGGGCGTCGCACTGCCGTCCGAGCTCGACACGTTCCTGCGCGCCTTCGCGTTCGCGGCGCCCTCCGAGGCGGTGCGGCGCGAGGAGGCGTGGCGGCTGTGGGACCCGAACGGCAACGGCTACCTTTCGCTCGCCGAGGTCGACTTGGGCGTCAAGATGACGCTGCAGTCCTTCCTCAAGGACGCGGGCGCGGGGGAGGCGGTGTGGCGCCGCTTCCGGCCGTCCTTCATCCGCGCCTTCAACGACGCCAAGGACGCGGCGGCGGCCGCCTCGTCGCTGTCGGACGACTACGTGACCAAGGGCGAGTTCCGGCTGCTGCTGTCCTACCTCGGCTACTACGCGACGTGGTTCGAGGTGTTTGCGATGGTGGACGGATGCTCGGACGGCACCACCGCGACCGACGACCGCCGCATCTCGCGCGAGGAGTGGGAGGAGGGCATCGAGAAGGTGGTGGCGGCGGGGCTGTCGTGGGCGCCGTACGTGGCGCTGCGCTCGGCGACCCCCGCCAGCTTCGACGAGATGGACTCGAACGGCGGCGGCTACGTGCTGCTGATCGAGTTTTGCGCGTGGCTCAAGGCGGCCGAGGTGGAGGCGGCGACGCCCGCCGGCCTCGCCCTCGCCGCGGGCGACGAGCAGCTCGCCCCCGCCGCACCCGCCCCGAAGCCGGCTGTGCCGGCGGCCAAGGAGGCGGCCAAGGAGGCGAAGCCAGCCGTCCCCGAGCTCGACACGTTCCTGCGCGCCTTCGCGTTCGCGGCGCCCTCCGAGGCGGTGCGGCGCGAGGAGGCGTGGCGGCTGTGGGACCCGAACGGCAACGGCTACCTCTCGCTCGCCGAGGTCGACTTGGGCGTCAAGATGACGCTGCAGTCCTTCCTCAAGGACGCGGGCGCGGGGGAGGCGGTGTGGCGCCGCTTCCGGCCGTCCTTCATCCGCGCCTTCAACGACGCCAAGGACGCGGCGGCGGCCGCCTCGTCGCTGTCGGACGACTACGTGACCAAGGGCGAGTTCCGGCTGCTGCTGTCCTACCTCGGCTACTACGCGACGTGGTTCGAGGTGTTTGCGATGGTGGACGGATGCTCGGACGGCACCACCGCGACCGACGACCGCCGCATCTCGCGCGAGGAGTGGGAGGAGGGCATCGAGAAGGTGGTGGCGGCGGGGCTGTCGTGGGCGCCGTACGTGGCGCTGCGCTCGGCGACCTCGGCCAGCTTCGACGAGATGGACTCGAACGGCGGCGGCTACGTGCTGCTGATCGAGTTTTGCGCGTGGCTCAAGGCGGCCGAGGTGGAGGCGGCGACGCCCGCCGGCCTCGCCCTCGCCGCGGGCGGCGATGCCACCCGGTGATTACGTCTAGGGAGACTTACCGGCAGTGAGGGCTCTGCAGTCTGTGACTGCTCCAGGTGCTTGCTGTGTGTCTCCGTCCTGCTGCTCCGGCGTCCGGGAGGGTGCATCAGACGCGCGCTCTCTGTGGCTCGGGGCGTTGCAGCCGGTCAAGTGTGACTCGTGCTGTGGTGTTGTGAGCGTGGTGGGAGAGACTGTCCGGGGGCGGGGCGGGCGGGCGCCTGCCGCCGATATGCGCGATATTGCGCAGTGTGTGGCGCGTGCATGCCCATCCGACTTCCGAGCCCATAAATAAATAAAAACGGACCCGGGACCCACCTCTCTCTACTCTGTGAGATGGGTGAAAAGGGTTAGGTCCCCGCCCTTGCGATCTTTGTGCAGGGTTCTTTGTGGGTGTGGTAGGCGATAGCACTAGCCGTCTTCCACATGGTCCCTCGGATCCCTGCACGCCTGCTGCTCCTTTAATCTCTTCGTACCGGATCCTCCTGCTGATCTCCGCAAAGTCCTGCTCCCTCCCTCGTCTCGCCCTGCGCGTCTGCTCCGCCTCACCGTCTTCTGCCTGCGTCGTCTGGCGACGGGTCCTCCATAGTCGGTTGAGGTCGCCGCCCTCCTCGCATGAAAACAAAAAGAACAAGAGCAGGAGCAATGGAGACGAGGGAAGGCGCGAGGCGCTCCGCCGACAAGCAGCAGAGGCGACGGCGAAAGTAACGACGGCCATGCTAACGACGGGCGGCACGGTGGTAGGGGCGAAGTAGGTAGGCCCCTCTAGCATAGCGGAAGGGGAACTCGGCCTACTGGCGACGAGGAGGCTGGAAAAATTCGAGGTGTGTAGCATCTACACTGGGGAGATCTTCCGGACAGTTGGAACGGCGCAGCCACCAGAGACAGTACCAGACGAACTGTCACGACACACGGCAGCAGGGGGGACGCAGCTGGATGGAAGTGACGACGAGAGCGATAACGACTTCGACTGGCCAGCAGCATCGAACGAGCCGAAGCAAGGCACGCGGGCGACGCACTTCGTTCGCTACGAGGAGGTACAACTAGGCAAGGCAGCTGCGCAAGTGATGGTCCTGTTTGCAGAGAATGGAGTCAAGGAAGGCAAAGAAATCACATGGTCATATGGGGACTCATACAGGAGCCACCGCAAGGAGATGGGATACAAGGCGGGGACGAGGGCGAATCCGAACGCAATAACACCCCAGCAAGCGCGGACGGCATTTGCTAGATACTGCGCAAAAAGATAGACGTGACGAAGGAGGAGCTAGCGTGGAACTTTGGATGCATATCGGCAAGCCAAAATAACGAGCCGGAGGCTGTCCTGGTGCGTGAGCTAATCCTGAGCAACAATAAGCGACTGTACCACGGAGCACAGAGCGCAACAGACAGGACAGCGGCGACAGCGGACACGGCAGAGACGAGTGTGAGACAAAGGGCGGCGGGGATGGAGGGCGGTAGCGACGGGGATGGCGACGGTGACAGTGGCGAGGGAGAGGAAGGGGGTCCATTAACACCAGACAGCGAGAGGGGCAGGGAGGAAAGGGGGAGAGAGGAAGCCAACGGCGATGCCACCAGCAGCAGGGGAGATACGATGAGAAGGTAGACAACGGCAAAGGCGATAGCGAGGACGAGGAGAAACGGGACGATGGCAGGCGAGACGAGGAAGACGGAGGCGAGGGAAGAGGCAGCGCCGCAGTCGACGGAGGCAACAACGATGGAGATGGAAAGAGAGCGGCGACATGCGCAGAGGATGAGGATATAAACTGGGACGACGCAGCGGAGGGGATAGGCGAGGGAATCGAGGGGCCGGAGGGCTTTCGCGACAGCGACGATGACGACGAAGGCAGGGGAGGAGACGGAGGGGCGACACGCAGGAGGGGCGAAATCGCGAACGGCCCGAGCAGAGAGAGCGACGGCGGGGCACGAGGGAACAACGGAGACGCTACCGATGACGCGAACCGAGGCACGGACGACGGCGGGGACGGGGACGGGGAGGGCGACAGCGACGTCGAGGTTGACGCAACCGTATCGAGAGCGCCACCCAAAAGGAGGCGGACAGCCATGGAGGTCACCGAATGGAGGGCGAACGGCATGATACGAAAGGCAGGGCGAGTCGGATGGAGAAAGAAGTGCCGAAAGGCCATGGTGGAGGGGAGGGACGGGAGGACGAAAGAAGGGCGAGGAGGACGAGCGGCCCGCACAGGTCGCGAGCAGACAGCGCCTGCTGGCCACTTCGAGACATTCGCAAAGAACGCTAGCTACATGGGAGGGCTTCGTGAAGGATGGATTGAAAAACATTCGAACAAAGAAGAGGCGACGGGAGGAACCGGCGGAGGATGCAGTGACGTGAGACACACACACACACACACACACACACACACACACACACACACACACACACACACACACACACACACACACACACACACACACACACACACACACACACACACACACACACACACACCGCTCACCCTTGCCACGCGCACTGGGCCTTGCACTTTGAATGCCGTGGGGCTCCTGTCGTCAGACGTGGAGACGCGAGGGTTGCCCCCCCTTGCCCCACCACCTCGTGTGTGTGGAGAAGTTTACCTTACCTTACCTTACCCTCCTCGTGCCTCTTCCCAACGTTCCCTCGGCGGCCGATGCCGTCTGCTCCGGCTCCCCAGTCCCCGGGTCTGCCCTGCTCTCGTCTGCGCTAGTTTCTGCTCCGTCCTCACCAGCGTCTCTCCTCTGTCCTTCTCTTCTTCCGAGCCCATGCCCCATGGGGACATACGTTTTATCAATTATCATATTTGAGATATATACGTATCCGGAAGCGGGATCTCTCTCATCTCAATCGGCGCATCGGAGAGCAGAGGACAAGCCTGCTGTGGCGTCGCCGCTGGGATCGATCGGCGGCGGCGCCAGCAGCGTTCTCCTTCTCGGATCTGAACTTCTGAAGCCGACTTTGAGCGCCGATCGATCGATCTGAGGGCTGGCCGATGGGTGGGGCCGCGCTGGGGCTGGGACATCGCCGCCTCCGCGGAGGCCGGTGGCGACCAGATAAAGCCGTAGGAGCGGTTGGGGCGCGTGCTGTGGCGCGCATGTCCGCGGAGACCGCCGTGGCCCGTCGGCGCCTGGCTGCGGCCTGGCGTCACGCTTCTGGCGCCGGAGCGAGGGACGTCGCGCTCGCGGAGGAGACTCACAACCACAAGCACACCTTCTCTCCAACACACTCTCGAGCTGTGGGCTGCCACTGTCTCTCCCAGAGCTGCACAATCAACGACACAAACCATCTCCGGCGCACACTCTCACGGCGCATTCTTCTGCCCCTTCTCCTCCCACGAGGTCCGCTGCTGGTGCGGCCCGATGGCGTCCTCGAAAAGCACCATGTACGGCAGCGAAGCAGCCTTTCTCAGCCCCTCCCGCAGCAGCGCGCGTCCCTCGGCGCTCACGCCCGTGTTGAGCAGGTCGAGGGTGGAGAGGGGCTTGTTGGTCGGCAGCAGCGCGGCAAACGCCCTCGCGCCTCGGTCGCCCATCGCGTTGCCCCGCAGCTCGAGCGTTCGCAGCCCGTCGTGCCTCCCCTTCAGCGCGATGGCGATGGCCTCCGCGCCGGCGCCGCTGATGCCGCACTCCCACATGTCGAGCGCCTCCAGCACGTGGTTCGCGGCGAGCGCCGTGGCGAGTGCAGCCGCGCCCTCGTCGCCCGCGTTCGTGCGGGTCAGCCACAGGTGGCGCAGCCCGCGCGCCTTGGCCAGGCCCGCCGCGATGCCCTTTGCGCCCTCGGCGCCCAGCGGGTTCTCGTTGAGGTAGAGCCGCTTGAGGACGGTGTTCTTGGCGATGGCGGCGCCGAGCGCCTTCGCGCCGGCGGCGCCCACCCCATTGTGCCAGAGGTCGACGAGCTGCAGCTTGGTGTTGCCGGCGAGAGCCGATGCGAGCTTGATCGCGCCGCCGTCGCCGACGCTCTCGCCAAAGAGGAGCAGCTCCTCGCAGCTGCCGAGCTGAAAGCTGCCGTCGGGCTGCCGCACGTCGCCGAGCCGGCAGCGATGCTGCGCCGAGGCGAGGAGCGGCGGGAGGAGGACGAGGGCGAGCGACAAACAACGAGCGGCTCCCCCCATTTACGAAAGGCTGAACAGTGGGGCAGACCACCTACGCGATCGGCGGGGTTCGGACTGTTGCAGGGTATGGTGTGGTCAGCAAAAAGAGGTACACATCAGGATCCTACCTACCTACCTCATTATGTCAGACCGTGGTCAGGATGGAGCACTTGGAGTGCAGTCGGTAACCGCACGCCCAGGACCGGGGAGTTGGGAGGTGATAGACGCGGAGATGTACGCGATACGTCTTTGTCGATACGTCGATACGTCATTTGTCAGCCGCAAAATGTACGCGATACTCGCCTACTTACGCGGCCTCTCCTTAGTTAGATAGAGGCGATTGCTTACTATATATAGATCGCAACAGAGGCGGTGATTTTCGTGCGGGTACCATCGCATGTGGGAATAGCTTGCAACGCTTACGCCGACGCAGTGGCGACAGCATTATTTCGGACGGAAATGACAACACGGACGGAGAAAACACCTTTTCATTCATTCATTCAAGAAGAGAATCTCTCTTCATTCAAAGAAAGGCAAAAAACACAGGCGGGCTCGGTGGCGGTGGGCTGCGAGGCGGCGGCGCGACGGCGGGGGCGGGCGGGGGCGGGTGGCGGAGGCAAGGGAGAGGGTGGGCCACCGCGGTGGCCGTGAGGGCGGAGGCGACGCGGGCGGCGGTGGGGACGGACGCACGGGAGACGGCGGCGACGGCGGCGACGACGGAAGCGTGGGGACGGGCAGGCCCGATGGCGGGGGCGTGCCCCGATGGCGGGGGCGTGCCTGATGGGAGGGCGGCCGGCCGACTGACAAGCGCTGCGCTGGGAGGCGGTGGTGAGCCGCTAGACTGCGTCCCCCCCCCCCCCCCCGCACGCCGCTGTGCGAGCACAGGTGTGCAGGACGCGACGGCGGCGCGCACTGCTCCTCGCCGTTTTCCCGCTCACTCGCCGCGACCAGGAGGGAGGAACTTGGTTATACCTATAGCATATAGTCGGATGCGGTGCTCGTCAAAGGCGCAAGGCAGAAGCCATGCGTGCGCGCAAGCCGTGGAGGGAGCTCGCAGTGCTCGGGCTGGCGCGCCCACGCGTTGTGCTCGGGCGCAGCTGACCCGACCGCAATCGGCGGGTCGCGACAATGCGCGGGGCAGCCTGCGCGTCCCGACAGCGCCGACAAGCGAGGCGCAGGCTGCGGAGGGCAACCTGAGGAACGCGCGACGAGCGAGTCGCGTGCGCGGCGAGCCGGCGAGGTAGCCGCACAGCCGTTCGAGACGACGCGGATGAGCCAGCCCGTCTCGGAGGAAGAGTGCCGCCGACCCAAGTGGGCGCCCGCTGGACCTGCGACACAAGGCCGCGGCGACAGCCGCGCCGGAGGCGCAGTGCGACAGGATCGGTCCAGCGCCTCGCCGGGGAGCCGCAGGCACCCTCTCTCCACGGACGGGGCCACGGAAGCCGCTCAATCGGGCGCAGGACGCCTCGGTGTGGGCGGCACGGGCGGGACGCCGCGTCAATCGTTTCGAGGTTACATTCCGTGTGTGTCTCGCGCCTTGCGGGTGGGGAGCGGAAAGGAGGAACCTCTTCCCAAGAGCACCACTCTTGGAGCGCCGCCACTACCACCCAGAGCGCTGCAAGCAGCGCCGGGCAATGACGGCTTACCGCCCACCCAGCCCCCCCTCGGCACACCCCGGCAGCCAATGTGTGACGGCTCGAACCCGCTAAGCCATCCCGCAAGCGGGATAGCCCGCCACTCGAACCCGCAAGCGGGCGTACGAACCGCGAGCGGCTCGCACTCGTGGCACGCAGGCGTCCGACAGACGGCGCCGGGGCTAGGCGACCGAAGAGGAACTACGGCAAGAACCGCACACCACCTGCTGACGAGCGCTCGCGGAACTGGTCCGCGGCGCCCGCCAGGGGCGTGCGCGAGACAGGGCTCGAAGCCCTTTTCTGTGAGCAGGGATTCCCTCCCGGCGGGGGTTGTGGCGGAGAGCCGGCATGGGAATCGCCGGCCCCCACCCAGGGGGTGCCCCTTCCCCCCGAGGTTAGCCGCCACCGACCCCGAACGAGCTGGCCAGAGGGGTCGAGCATTGCCAGTGCGCGCCAGTCCCCCGTGAAGGCCAGTCCCGTGACGGCCAGTCCCGTGTCGGCGGCAGCGCGAGCTTGACTGAGCGCGAGCTTAGAGCGAAACGTTGCCATGGAGCTCGCCCTCTCCTCGCCGCCGCCGCTCGCAGGCAAGACGGTCGCCGTCGTCGGCGGCGGCGTCGGCGGCCTCGTCGCGGCCGGCCTTCTCGCGAGGCAGGGAGCGGCGGTGACCGTTCTCGAGCAGCGGCCGGTTGCCGGCGGCCGGCTCGGCGAGCACCGGCTCGGCCCGGCTGGCGAGTGGCGGTTCGACTCCGGCCCTTCTCTGCTGCTGATGCCCGAGGTCTACCGAGAGACCTTTGAGCTGCTCGGCGACCCGGAACCGCTCGAGATGTCTCCGGTCGCCGCGCCCTTCTACCACGTTTTCTTTGGGGACGACCCGGCCGGCACCGCTCCCATCCAGCTCGACCCGGCGCGGCGGCGCGAGGAGTTCGCCGCCGCGATCGAGCGTCTCGAGGGCTGGCCTGGCGACTCGATGGAGCGATTCGACGCGTACATGGCCGCCGCGAGCGCCGCCCTCGACGGCGGCTGGCCGCTGGCCATCGAGGAGCGGTGGGACGTTAAGACGGTCACGGCCGTCCTGCCCGCCTTTGCGAGGTCGGCGCTCCGCAACTTCCCCGCCAACCTACCCGTGGGCGCGAGCCGCGGAGGCGGCAGCCCGCCCTTGCGGTCCGCGTCTCTTTACGCCGCCCGCCCTGTGGACAGGCCAATCGCACATGCAGCAGCTCCGCCGCTACTTCCCAACCTCGGACAAGGTCCGCGCCCTGCTCTCCTTCCAAGACCTGTGCGCAGCTAGAGCTCACACTAGACTCCTTCCAAGACCTGTGCGCCAGCTAGAGCTCACACTAGACTCCTTCCAAGACCTCTGCGCCAGCTAGAGCTCACACTAGACTCCTTCCAAGACCTGTGCGCCAGCTAGAGCTCACACTAGACTCCTTCCAAGACCTGTGCGCCAGCTAGAGCTCACACTAGACTCCTTCCAAGACCTGTGCGCCAGCTAGAGCTCACACTAGACTCCTTCCAAGACCCGTGCGGCAGCTAGAGCTCACACTAGACTCCTTCCAAGACCTGTGCGCCAGCTAGAGCTCGCACTAGAGGCCGTCCTCGCATTCGCCTTCCTGGGACCCAGCGCTGACTGCTGACTGTCGTTGCGGTCCATCCCTTTCTCGACTAGGTAGGTAGGTAGGTAGAATCTCGACTGTCTGAGCTTGTGCGTCTTTGGTCCCGGGGTTGTGTCTTTGTGTGCGCCTGGCCTCTCACCGCGCCTAGCCGCGCCTACGCATCCGAGGCCACTCGAGTCTTCCGAGCGAGTAGGTACGTCGGCCTGTCGCCATACGAGGCGCCCGCCGTCTTCTCGCTGCTGCAGGCAATGGAGGTCCAATCTCGGGCGGATCTCGGGCTGGTCTCGGCCAATCTCGCGTCGTCTCGCTGCTGCAGGCGATGGAGCTGGACGCCGCGTCGTACGGCGTTCGCTATCCGCGGGGCGGGTTCGGGCGCGTGAGGAGGAGGCTGCTCGAGCAGTGCGAGAAGGTCGGCGTGCGGGTGCGAACCGGCGCCGGTGTATCGGTATTCGGCTGTATCGGCACTCGGCTGGACGACACTGCGTGTTCCAACCCTGATCTTCTTCACGCGGCGTCTCGGCTGATCTCGGGCTGATCTCGGCCAATCTCGCAGGCGTGGCCGTCACGCGAGTCGAGGTCACCCAGGAGGGCGGGGAGGCGGGCGAGAGCGGCGCTGCTGCGACGGGCGTTCGGATCGTCGACGGCGATGGCTCCGAGTCGAGCTTCGCCGCCGACATCGTGCGGGCCCCCAGCCGAGATTGCGCCCGAGATCGCCAGCCGAGATTGCGCCCGAGATCGCCAGCCAAGATTGCGCCCGAGATCGGAGCCTCCCCGAGGCGAGGGCGTGTGGGGAGGACTGAGCGTGTGCCTCTGCTCGCGGCGGCGGCTGCCGCGAGGGCTCGAACGGAAGAGAAGAGAGGAGAAGAGAGAGAGAGAGAGAACAGCGAGAAGGGAATAGGAGGGCCCTCCGCCCGCCGGAAGGTGCTTTGCAACGCGGACCTGCCCGCCGCGGAGGAGGCGCTGCTGCCGCCACACCTCTCCAGGGCCGACAAGCTGCGGTCCGCCGCCTCCTCCTCCTCCGTGCTGTCCCTCTCCTTTGCCCTCGACGCGCAGTTTGCCGACGCGCTCGCGCACCACACCATCGTCTTTGCAGAGGACTTGGGCCAGGCGCCGTGGGAGTCGCTCTTTGGCGCCCGCCGGGCCTCGAGCTTCCTGCCCGTGGCCGCAGCCCCCACCTGGGCCCCGGGCCATTTCTACGTGCGCCGCCCGACTAGGGGCGTCTGCTCGCTGCGGACAGGTCTCTCTTCACGAGCGTCTGCGTCCGCAGGTGCACTGCCCGACGAGGACCGCCGTGTCCAGGACACGTCCATGACATGTCCGAGACGTGTCCGCAGGTGCACTGCCCGACGAGGACCGCCGTGTCCAGGACACGTCCATGACATGTCCGAGAGGTGTCCGCAGGTGCACTGCCCGACGAGGACCGACCCGACCGCAGCTCCTGCCGGATGCGACGCCATCACGGCGCTCCTCCCGACGCCGCCGAGCCTTTTGGAGCCCGAGCCTTGTCAGAGCCTCCCCGGAGCCTCTCCCGGTAGGTTCTCCTCCCGACGCCACCGCTGCCGGTCGGCGCCTCCGAGGCGGAGGCCGAGGCGCTGTCCGACGTGTGGGCGGCGGCGGGGCGGGCGTCTGTCGTCGAGCGGCTGGCCCGCTTGCCTGGCATGGCAGGGTGGCAGCAGAGCATTCGCCACGAGTCCGTCATCCCGCCGGCTCGGTGGCGGCGCGAGTACGGCCTCGCTCGCGGCGCGAGATGAGCCGAGATGAGCCGAGATGAGCCGAGAGTTCAGCGAGCACGGCTTCGCCCGCGGCGCGGCCGCCTCGCCCTCCTCCCCCGGCGCGCGCGCGCCTCTTCACCCCCTGCCGCCGACGCAGGCGCCGTGTTTGGCCTCGCCTCCAGCCTCAACCAGCTCTCCTTCCTCCGGCCCGGCCCGCGCCACCCGAGGGTGCGCAACCTGTACTTTGCCGGCGCCTCCGCGCGGCCAGGCAACGGCGTGCCGCCGGTCATGTTCATGTGCTCGAGACGTGTCCATGACATGTCCTAGACCTGTCCACAGGCAACGGCGTGCCGCTGGTCATGTGCGGCGCCAGGCAGGTGAGCGAGTTGCTGCTTAGTGGCTAATTGACATTAGTTGGTCAGTCATGTGCGGCGCCCCGGCAGGTGAGCGAGGCCATCGCGCGCGATGCGTGCGGCGGGTGAGGGACGCGGCGGCCGTGTCGCCTTTCAGCGCCACCACGGGCACCACACCGGCAGGGCGCCACGGGCGGTCGCCACAGCGCGGCCGCTCGTGGTTGCGCCGCGCAGGGCCGCCAGCAACGTCGCCGCCTCTGCGCGCCGCCGCGGTCCTGGAGCGGGCGCGGCTGCTGCGCGAGAGGTCTGCGGTCGGGTCTGTGGCCTGGCGTCTGCCAGGGCTCTCTAGCCCATAGCCCGATCCCGATCATCCGGCCCGCTGGGTGCGCTTCTTAGCTCCCCGGCCCTGGATGTGAGGCTGATGACTGCACTCCAAGTGCTCCAAGTGCCCAGCGATTAAACCGGGGCCCAACTCGACGACTTTCTAGCGATTTGCCTCGCACGAACCACGGGGTCGGCTCCCCTTGCAGCCTTTCGAGGGGCGCAAACCCTGTGACTTAACCCTAGAGATAGATACACTGTCGGTTACTGGACCGTCACCAGCTCGACGTCGTCGAACAACGTTCGACCATGGCACTGTTCACAGCGCGCGCGGACGGCGGTTCTGCGAGTCCCGCTCAGCAGGACTTTTGTAAAGCATGCTTGTGGCAAGTTATAGACGCTAGTATCGACCTCAGAGACCCAGGTGCATCGTCTGGGCCGACTCGGACAGCGCAAGCATGGGCGGTCGGCCTCCCTAGATGCACGCGAGGAGTTGTGGCGCGGTCCTTCCCGTTGCTCCTCCCTGTCACCCAACCCACCCGCTCCACGGCCGCCTCAAGAGCTTGAACCTCCCCCGGTGCAGGCTGCCACACCAACGCGACGTTTGTCGAGGCGGAGGCGGTGTGCATTGCGGCGGGTGGGCGGCTCTGCACCTCCATCGAGCTCGAGATGGGCTGCGCGCGCGGCTCCGGCTGCTCCCTCGACGACCACCTCGTGTGGTCCTCTGGCAAGAACCGGCCGCAGTTCGACGCCGCGCAAGAGTTTGGGGTGGACGCAGCAAGGGGGCTGGTACCTCCATTGTACGGTGGGCCTCAAATCCTCGGCCTCGACCGCTGCCAGGCGTACCGCGCCGCGACACCCGTGGTGCGCCGCCGCTTTGGTGTCGCCGGCCTCTTCAACACGGGCACAAGCCTGCTGCAGCAGTTGCTGGTGGAGCGGTGCGCCATGCCGGGCCGCGAGAGTGCAGAGCAGAGCCGCGATGGCAAAGCAGTGTTACGGTACGCGCGAGTGTCGGCCGGATCTGCGCCGTGGGGCAAGCACAGCCCGGCTACGTGGCGCGGGAGACACGCCGTGACTGCACCCGACAACGTCTCCGACGTGGAGAGCACCCTCCCGCTGGTCATCGTCAAGGACCCGCTATCATGGATGGCCTCGTTGTGTGGCAACGCCCAGGATAAGCACTAGGGAGCGGATCGCATTCATCGCAGCCTCCGAGGCCGTCGGGAGGAGGAGCGGTGGGGCCGTGATTGCACGTTCCACGTGACTCCGCACATCCGCAGCCCAGGTTCGCCCACGCTGGAGCGGAAAGGGGACTTCTACAGGTAGGGAGAGCTGAACGTTTCCGCAGGCGAAAGGACAGACGAATTTTCAAACGGGGGTGAACCGTGCCATCCTCGATCGCCGTGCAAAGCTCGCTTCCGAGCTCTCACGCCGCGCGTAGGGCCCTTAGGGGCCTAGAGAACACAACCCCCTCTCTCTTTTCTCCCAGTAAGCTAAAAGTACGTAACGAGGGACGTTTTCATTGGATTCCCACCGTCCAGCCCCTGCCGCCTCCTTTTCGTGTGTGCGAGAGTACCTCGATGAGGTGACTTGGACCACCAAGAACTGGCTGGGGCTGCAGAAGCAGCGTATCTCGGTCGTTCTTCACACACGGCCATCGCAGAGCAGATTGTGAATGAGCTTGCCTGCGTGCGGCGAGGGCGGTCGAGTGCACGGAGCTAGAAGTAAGTGCCTCGCCGTCCTCGCAGTTACTGCCAGTGAGCGCCAGTCCCGTGCCTACTGTCGTGAGAGGGAGTGCCTAAAATTCTTTCCAGTGCGCGTCAAAGAAAGAAAGAAAGAAAACAGACAGAGAGCAAAGTGCCAAGGGAGCACGACAAAGAGCAGCTACTATCTCCGCATTCCAACGCGGCGGCGTCGATTATTCCTATCATGTCGCTCACCCACACCCTTGGTTAAAGTGCACTCCACCGTGGTGGCCAGCAATCGCCAACCGGCCGTCGATGTAGAGATCACACCACTTTTGATCGCTGTCGCTGTACCTGATCTCATCGCCGTGGCATTCATGTCTCCCACAGCCTTCCCAATACACCTTGTAAGTGCACCCCCGCACCCCTGCGCCGTTATCCCTGCAGTCTGTTCTCCAACCGCAGCTCAGGCTGGTCGTCCGGTAGTTCGCGCCGTTGACAAAGAACCTAGTCTGCCGGACCGCTGTTGCACAGGACGGAGCACCAGGAGATGAGAGTAGTTGACGGGTTGGGCTGCCGACCGTGCCTCCCCTCTTTACGTCAGAGTGGGACCTTTGCCGCGCCGGGTCTGGGGCGCGCCCGGTCCTTGACGGAGCCGCGCGCCCCGAGCGGCCCAGGCGGCGAGTAGTCGTCCTCGAACCTTCGACATGTAGTAGTCCGTGGTTAGCGCCCGCCCGCCCCCCCCTCTCCGTCGCTTCGCAAAAGAAAAAACAAAATAAAAACAAGCAAAAGAGAAAGCGAAGCCAAAAAACGATTGCGTAAACGGCGTCACAAAGCCCGCCGGTTTTGATCGACAATCGTGAGATTGACCGCCGTCGACCAGAGAATTGACGGCCAGCATGCAAACGATGTGCCAGCCTGCACTGCTGTTGGTCGCCATGCTCGTCCCTCAGGCACGCTCGCAGTCAGCCCTCCTCGAGCACTGGCGCAATCACCCGCCAAGCGACTACTACCTCGATCGGTGGGTTCACTACGCACCGCACTACGAGCAGCACCTCCCGGCCCGAGACAACGGCTCGCCGCTGCGAATGCTCGAAATTGGCGTCAGCTCTGGCGGCAGCGCAATCGCATGGAAGCGATGGTACGGGCCGTCGCTCACGTACGTGGGCGTCGACCTCAACCCCGCATGCAAGCGCACCGAATCAGTGGGCGAGCGCCGGTACATTGAGATTGGCTCGCAGGAAGACCCCGACTTCCTTCGCTCCATCTGCGCCAAGTACGGCCCATTCGACATCGTCATCGACGACGGCGCACACATTGCGCGGATGGTGCAGCTGAGTCTGCAGCTTCTCTTCGAGAGCGACCAGTGCATGCGTGACAAGTCCATCTATGTCATCGAGGACCTACACGTGCTCGCGCGCTGCTCGGGACCTGGGCACGACTCGACCTTTTGTAACCACCCGCGCGACTTCAGCAGCCTCTACTCGGATGCCTTCCTTGGCATGCACAACCGCTGGCAGGGCTGCAACCAAGCTGGCCGCCGCTGCCACCGCGCGCCGAAGACCAGGCCGCTCGGTCCCTCGTGGGCGTCGATGGTTGCGGGCGTGCATCTTTACGATAGCATGGCCTTTTTCGAACGCAACTCTGGGCAGAATGCCACCGTACTCGGTCGGCTCACCCGCGGCAATAGAACGGAGAGGGTCACGACCATCGACCCTAAAGTAGGCTGAGAGGTCGAAGAGAGTAGAGACCGCTCTCAGCAACGTGCTCATCGGCGCGCGTCTCGTTTTGGAGAGAGACCCTCAACGAGTGTGTCGGGTGTGTCCGCATGCCGTCGACCGACACGTGTCGACGTGTGCCGGTGCGACGTCTGGTACTGTGGTTGGAGCGGAGTTGTGATCACACGGTGTATATGGCTTTCCGGCTCTATGTACATCACCTATACGCTGCGAATGCGTATTACGCACAGACGCGCACCGCGTCCCCGCGTGGGACGCGCCTGGAACTTGTACTTTTCGTAATAGTATTCATCATTGCGAGAGCGGACCACTCCTAGCGTGCAGACCGCGGGAGCTTGGTGCCGCGGCCAGTGTGGAGACCTGGCCTGCGCTGTGACGCGCGCGCTCATCTCGAACGTGGAGCCTCCCAACAGGCTGTCACGTTAGGGCCTGACAGCGACGGAGCACCTCGACTGTCAGACTCTGCTGTCATGCTGTCAGAAGTACGTGCTGTCAGACTGTCGGAGAAAGTGCTGTCAGCGCTACAGCGTTGTCAGGCTGTCGGGCACTGTCAGGCGCTGACCGCTGTCCGGGGTTTGCTGTCAGACTGTCAGAGACCAGGGCTCAGAGGCGGGGCGACCCGAAAGACTCACACTTCACACACTGCCAGTCTTGTTCTCTTGAACAACTCAAGGTATTCAGTGGAGGCTAAGGCGGAGGTAATGTAACACCTAAAAGCACGAGGAGGAGAGCCAATACGTGAATCCTGAATCGCAATCGGTCCATTACGAGTCACGGCTTGCCTTCGATGGCGATGCGGCTCTCAAGACCCGCAATCTTCTCTTGCAGCCTGGCTTTCATCCTGTCCACCTCAGGGTCGTCACCACCCATGCGGTCGAGCCGCACCAGCACCTCTCGCGCACCCGCCAGCTGCTTAGCCGTGGAGGCTTGCGCTGCCAAAGGCTTGCTTGGAGGCACCGGCGAGCTGACACGAGGTCGAACCTCTGCTTCCGTTGCAGTTCCCGAATCCTGTGCTGCTCGCTCTGCCGCGGTGGCCCGTGCCTGCGCCGCAGTCAGCTGTGCCCGTGCCTCTGCCGCCTCCAGCTGTGCCCTCGCCGCTTTCGCGGCATGCGTCGCGAGCTCGGCTTTCCGCTTCGCCGTGTCGTGATCGCTGACGCGGTGCGCGCACGCCTGCGCCGGAGGTTGCGGCGGGAGCAAAAGCTCTTGCACGGAGCGGACGGTGCAGCGAGCGTCCTCCGCCCAGGCGAGCCACGCGCGCAGGTGCTCGTCGGCTCTCAGCGTGCCGGCATGGCCGAGCACGATCAGCCCGGAGCGCGCGCGCGTCAGCGCTACGTTCAGCCGCCGCTGGTCGGCGAGGAACCCCACGCGGCCGCGGTCGTTGGCTCTGACCATGGAGATGATGACCAAGTGCGCCTCTTGCCCCTGGAAGCCGTCGACGGTCGAGACCACCACGCCGTGCGCCTGCTGCATCTGCCGCAGCCTGGTCTGGATGAGCGCCTTCTGCCCGAGGTAGTGCGTTATCACGGCCACACCAGCAGTGTCGTCGTTGCCGCTCGCGAGCAGCGTCGGACATGCGCGCCGCAGTCGGGCGACGCAGTCGACGACAGCAGACGCCTCGCAAGGGTTCACCTTGGAGCCGCGCGCATCGACCTGCTCCCACGCGTGCTCCATGCGCACCAGTGCCACCGGCCAATCGCTGCGCGGCCAGCGTACGAGGCGCTTGAGCTGCACTGCGACCGGCGAGGGTGGGCGCTCGGCGACTGGTGCATTGGACACGGCCCCTCCGTAGAAGTGCCGCAGCGGGAACGCGCTTATGGCGGCGTCCATCCTGTACTGCGTGTTGAGCAACAGCTTGGGGCAGCCTGCGCCGAGCAACATCTCGAATACAGGCACCGCCAGCCCGCCCTCCCTCGCCCGCAGCGAGATCACCGTCGGAGGCAGCTGCTTGTGGTCGCCGGCGAAGACGACGCGCTGCGCCTCCGGCCGCTTGCTGTCGAGCAGGTTGAGTGGGACGAGGGCGGCAGGCAGCGTCGCCTGCGTGCCCTCGTCGAGGACGAACATTGTGAAGGCGGCGCCCGGCGGGAAGATGCCGCTGCCGCTGCCAATCAGTGTGGTGGCCACCACCGCAGCGTTGGCGATGAGCTCGTGCTGGATGGCGAGCTCGAGCTGCTGAATGCGCTCCCACAGCCGCCGCTTCTGGGAAGGCTTCTCGCAGGCCAGCATCGCCTCCTTGAGCTCACTCAGCTCAGGTGCGCTCGCGTGCGCCTTTGCGAGAGCCAGCAGCGAGCACCGCGCAAGCTCAGGCGGCACTGAGCCCGAGCACGCTCCCACGCGCACCAGCTCGCCCGGCGCCAGCTGCGAGCCAGAGCGCTTGAATACGGCGTGCACCAGGTTGTCGACGGCGGTGTTGGTCTCAGCGAGCAGGAGGACTCTGGTGCCGCTCCGCTGCCGCAGCGCCGCATGCACTGCGCTGGCGAGCACCGTAGTCTTGCCAGTGCCAGGGGGTCCATGGATCAGTGAGATGGGGAGGCTAAGAGTGGCGTCTACCGCCCGCTGCTGGCTAGCGTTGAGCCACGACATGGGTGCGACTGCGGAGCCCAGGCAGGGCGCGCCGCACTCGCCGGCAGAGGATGGGGATCCCTCACACCGCGTCACTACGGTGGGCGTTTTGAGCAATGGCAGGACCGCATCCCACACTTGGGAGCGCTCCTTCTGCGCGCTGCGCTGGTCGCATCGCTGTATCGCTGAGTGCATGCGGTCGAATGGGGTCTGCTGAAATCCCTTGTCGATGCGGAACGTACCACCACGAGGCGAGAGCAGCGCGCTGTCTATCGCCGTGCCCCGCTTCAGTGTGAGCTGCAGCATGGACCCGCTCACGCTTGTCACACAGCCCAGCGCCAGCACACTCGTCGATTCGTGCGACACGATGCCGACGTCACCAAGCGCGAACACGTTGTATGCCAGCCGCGTACCCGCAGCGCTGCGGAGGGTGAGGGTTCCGTCGTGCATGTGCAGCCGCGCCTCGAGCCCATGCAGTCTGAGCCCCTCTTGACAGAGCGCCTCGTTGCTCCATGTCTCGAGACGGTGCTGCACCTGCTCCTCCTGCGCCGCCATTTCCTGCTGGAGGAGCTGCACCCAGAAGGCGGCACCGTCACTCAGAGCAGCAGAGTCTGGCAGGTCTGCGTGCTTCTTGAGCTGGCCCGACTGCTTGTCAACGCGACACTCGTGCTGCTTCCCAGTGTGGCGCATCAGTTCCAGGTGTGCTTTGCAAACCGACCACTTCTTGAAGCGCTCGCCACAGGTCGGACAGGCATAGGACGGCATTGGCGCCGGATCGGTTTGGTCATTTTTTCTTTTTTGCGCGATTTTTCACTTGTTTTTGCGGCCATGCTTCGGCGTACTTGCGGCCATGCTATCACGCCTTGCGACAGCCTGTCGGCGCTGCTGACCGTGCCGTGCTGCACAATTGATCACCTGCATAGCTCGCGGCCTTAGTATCAAGCATTCAGTGACGACCTGATCGTACGGCCAGTAGGAAGGTGTCCTTCCATCGTGTGCACGCTTCTGGCGCAATGCGCGTCGCCTCGGATTGGCTGCTGGCAATCTCGAGGCTATGCCTACACAGCCTCGCGCGCATGGGCAGTCAAGAGGGACCATGCACTTTCTCAGGACAGCGCCGGTGCCTCTCTCTTGGACCGGCAAAGGTGGTGGTCTCGTGTTACCAATGTGGGACCAGTGCGGCATCGCGCCATCGACAGCTCTGGACTGCGCCTCACCACTGACCGGGAAGGCCGCCAAGTGGGCCAGCACCGGTCGCATATTGTGGCAGCAGTCAGCAGTGCATGGCTGATAGCTAGAGCAGCAGCGTCAGGGTCGCAGGGTCGGATCGTGTCAAGCCTCTCGCCCGGCCGGCCGCGTGCAGACGTCGGCCTGTCTGCTGTCTGAAGTGATCTGTCGGCGGTCAGTACGACCGATCAGGTTGGAGTTTTCTGATGGTTAGAGGGTCTATCTGTATGTACTCCTCGAGATCTCTCCAAATCTGCCCTCTGTTAGACCAGGTTAGATCGGTGCTAGTTCTAGATAGTGGAGACTAGTGGAGCCGGGCCCCCCCCCTTTCCGCACTGTCTGCGGCGCGGGCCGCGGCGCACGGTGTGCCTCCGGGGGCCCCCGCGCCACCCCAGAGGGGATCAGCAGAACTGGCAGCAGCTAAATAAATAAATAAAACGGACACCTCTACTAGGAGATGGGTAAAAAGGAACAGGTCCCCGCCCTGCGGTCTTTGTGCAGCGCGGGGTACACTGGCAGCAGCTGATTTTCTTACTCTCAAGAGTTTTTTGACCACACCAGTGCATGGCATACGAGATCGAGAGAACTCAGGGGACCGCGTGCCCCACTGCCCCTCTGCCACTGCATGCGCGCAAACACGGGTGCGCCTTGTGGGTGCGCGAAGGGCGCGGCGGCCGCGCGTCAAGAGCCGAGCTGCTGCTGCTGCAGCAGCGCCATCAAATGGGCGGGCATGCCGTCGGCGGGCGCCTCGGAGGACGACGCCTCCGCGCGGGTGGCGGTCGTCTGCTGCGTCCTGCCCCGCCGGTTGCGCCCGGCGCCGGTGCCGCCCGAGGAGGAGGAGGAGGAGGAGGAAGGGGCCTGGCCGACGGCGGGCGACTGGTGGCTCTCTTGAGAGCGGTACTCGCGGGCGAGGGTCTCGAGGAAGGCGTCGTCGTCGAGGAGCGCACCGAGCCTCGCCCGCAGCTCCACCTTGAGCGCCTCGAGCGACGTGTCGCCGTCGGCAGCCCCCGCCCCGTTCCCGCTGCCGTTGCCCGCAGTCTGCTCGGGGGACGGCTCCTCCGAGGCGCGCTCCGTGGTCGCCGAGGCGTCCGTCGCGCCCGTCGGGGTGGGCGGCGCAGGCTGGCCGCCCGCCGGCGGCTGCGCGCCCTGCATCATCGAGAAGAAGGCGGCCACATTGTTTGACGCAGTGGCCGCCTCGCCGCCTGAGGCCAAGTCCGATGTCGGCGCCGCTGGAGGCGGCGCGGGCACGGCGGGCGTCGCCTCCGCCGCCGGGTCGACAGGGCTCAGCGCGGCGGCGTTGGCGGCGTCCGGCTCCTCGATCGGGGCCGATGTGTCTGGCTCCTCGCCCGTGTCCTCCCCAAGCTCCTGCGCCGCAGGTAAGGGAAGGTGAGGCAGACGTCTCCACACACACGAGGTGGTGGGGCGAGGGCCAGGGCTAGCCCCTCGCGACTCCGCGTCTAGACGGCAGGAGCCCCAAGGAGGGAGAGGGAGAGGGAGAGGGAGAGGGAGAGGGAGAGGGAGAGGGAGAGGGAGAGGGAGAGGGAGAGGGAGAGGGAGCGGGTGAGTAAATGCAGGCGTACGTGCAAGCGCCTGCGCTGCAAGGGACTGGAGCAACGCGGCGATCTCGGCGCGCTCGGGCGGCGAGTAGAACCAGATGCCGATGATCTCGGACGCGTCGTTGCGATACCTGCGCCCGTGATCTCCCGTGATCTCCCGCGATCTGCCCCGGCAGCTTGGCGGCGCCGACTACCTCCTCCGTGTGTGTGCGCGTGCGTGCGTGCGTGCGTGCGTGCGTGCGTGCGTGCGTGCGTGGGTGCGTGCGTGCGTGTGTGCGTGCGTGAGTGGGTGGGTGGATGGGTGGGTGGGTGGGTGGGTGCGTGCGAGCGTGTGTGTGGTGGCGCGCACAGCAGGAACTGGTCGTTGAGCTCCATCTGGAAGTCTGCCGTCACCGCCTCGACCTAGCGAGCCGCACAGGACACATCACGATCTCAAGCAAGATGCAGCAGCATGCACGATGGTCCGTCGAGATGCGTGCAGAGACGGGCGAGAAGGGAGGGGCACATGGTGTGATCAATGTGTGCTCGGCCAGGTTCTGGGACGAGAGGAAGGGAGGGGTACATAGTGATACTTGTGCATGTGCGTGTGCGTGTGCATGTGCATGTGCATGTGCATGTGCACGTGCATGTGCGTGTGCATGTGCGTGTGCGTGTGCATGTGCGTGTGCGTGTGCGTGTGCATGTGCATGTGCATGTGCGTGTGCGTGTGCGTGTGCATGTGCATGTGCATGTGCATGTGCATGTGCATGTGCGTGTGCGTGCTCGACCAGGTTCTGGGACGAGATATGGGGAGATATGGGGAGATATGGGGAGATATGGGGAGCTCGACCAGGTTCTGGGACGAGATATGGGGAGATATGGGGAGATATGGGGAGATATGGGGAGCTCGACCAGGTTCTGGGACGAGATATGGGGAGATATGGGGAGATATGGGGAGATATGGGGAGCTCGACCAGGTTCTGGGACGAGAGGAAGGGAGGGGTACACGGTGATGCATGTGCATGTGCATGTGCATGTGCATGTGCGTGTGCGTGCTCGACCAGGTTCTGGGACGAGAGCCGGTTGAGGACGACAAACATGTGCCTGCGGTACGGTGAGGTCCACGTCTCCACACACATGACAAGAAGATGAGGTGGCGGGGCAAGGGCCAGAGGGTGTGTGTGTGTGCGTGTGTTGTGTGTGTGTGTGTGCGTGTGCGTGTGTGTGTGCGTGTGTGTGTGTGTGTGTGTGTGTGTGTGCTGCGTGCCTTGGCGCTGTCGTGCGCGCGACGACGAAAAGTGAGCCCTCCACCTGCAGGGGAGATGTGGGGAGATTGCAGCAGCCGGCGGGCGCAGGGGCGCTGAGAGGCCGGAGGAGGTGGGCGCGCTGGCGCGTGCTTGGGGAGGTGGTGGTGGCGGGGGTGGTGGGGGGGCGGCGGCGTCGGCGGCGAGGGCGGTGGTGGGCTGGGAGGGGACGGGGGCGGGGGGGCGGCAGAGACGGTGGAGGGGACTTGGAGGTGGTGGCGAGGGCGGTGGGGGAGACGGTGGTGGGGGGGCTCGGTGGGGGAGGGGGAGGGGGCGGTGGAGATGGAGGTGGGAGGCGAAGGGGGCGGAGGGCTGGTGGTGGCGGCAATGGCAGCGGAGGCGGCGGCGGAGGCAGGGGTGATGGTGGGAGGCGGCGACGGTGGCGGTGGCGGTGTGTAGGGCTTGGCGGGGGCGGGCCGGGGGGCGGTGGAGAAGGAGGCGGCGGCGGCGGTGGTGGTGGGCTTGGAGTGGCAGGCTGGGTGCAGGGGGCGAGGGCGGAGGGAGGGGGGGGGGGGGGGGGCGGCGGCCGTGGCGATGAAGGCGGCGGTGAGGGGGGTGGCGGCGACGGAGGTGGTGGACAGGGCGGCGGCGGCAAATGGGGTGGGGGGTGGGGGTGAAGGTGGTGGGTGAGGTGGCGGTGGCGGTAGGTGGTGGAGGCGATGCGGGTGGGGGCGATGGTGGGTGGGGCGATGGAGGCGGCGGGGATGGTGGGGGAGGGGAGAGAGGCGGCGGGCTCGGTGGCGGAGGTGAGGGCGGGGGCGGTCTCTGGCGGGCGGCTGCGTGCGCGCCTTCTTGAGGTCCCACGACTGGCTGTCCTCGTTAAACTGATAGAGCACCACGTGCCCGGCCATCTTGAGCACCTCGGTGATGGCCGCGTCCCTCCGCTTGAGCACGGCGAGGTTGTACTCGAGCTGCTTGTCCTTGTCGATGCTTGCCATGGTGGGTGCGAGGGTGTGAGGGTGTTGCTCGCGCCGCAAGCAGCAGAACAAAAGAATTTGAACCGGTTATCAGGCTCGGCAGCGGTAAAAAGGAACTGACTCTCTCAGACAAGATGTTCAACAGCATGCTGACCGAGGTGGGGAGAGACCTGAGAGCGATGGCGAACGACGCAACGTACCGGGCGGGCACGCAAATTGACAACTGGATAGTCACCCCGGCGCTAGCGAATGTGATGGGGCGCGTATACATCATGCCAGGAGTTTGCGGGAAAGACCATGAGATAGTGGCGGTTGAATACTACGGGGCGGACGACCCAGAAGGAGAGCGGGAATACCGACCGAAAGGAGTCAGCCGGAAGCTGGACCGAGACGCCGAGGAGGCGTTCACGAAGACCGTGCAGGAAGCCTACGACGGCGCGATGCAACCGCGCCGATGGGGCGGGAATGTGGGGAGGAAAGCTGCCGAACATGTGGGAGCCGATAGACGCGGAGATGTACGCGATACTCGCATACTTACGCAAAATGGCGAACGCGAGCGATGCGCAAGCGCGGCGGTGCTTAGTGCTATGCGACTGCAAACCCGCGCTGCAGCAGATTGAGAATGCGCACCGCAAAGGGATGCCAGAAGGCCTGAGGGACTGGGAGAGAGGCGGACTGCTGGAGGCGATCGCTTACTATAGATCGAAGCTAGAGGCGGTGGTCTTCATGTGGGTGCCAGCACACGTGGGAATAGCCTGCAACGCTTACGCCGACGCGGTGGCGACAGCACACCTCGGGGATAACGACACGGAGGACGCCTCGAAAGTGGTGCGGGAAGCGGTGCGGACGCGGCCATGCATGTACACGGTGCGAAGGGAGGCGGCAGAGAACGCAGAGAAGAGGGAGATAGTGGACCGACGGACGTACGGACACATGTGTAAGAGCGCGCACGAGTGGGTGTGCGAGCAATATCGAAAGACAGTGAGGCCGGGGTCGCACACGGCAGGGGTGGCGGGACGGTTGTGGAGCGAAGTGGCAGTAGCCAGCCTCAAGCATCGATGGGATAATAAGATGAGATTACCAGACGAGACCGGGGGGAAGGACAGGCGGGCGACATTTGACGACGTCGGGGATCACAATGTGACGACCAAAACGATCTTGGGGGCCAGGGTGAGACAACAGGTCGGGGTGCCACATGGGGAACACCACAGGCGTATTCTAGAGGGGGAAAAGAAACGGGGAATGAGGGGCCCCGCCACGAGAAGTGCGTTCTGGGGATGCAGAGCGTGCAAAGCGGCTAGGGATGAGGTCGCAAAAGAGGCGCGCGAGGCAAGGAGGAGACGCGGGGAACTGAAAGACTGGGACGACTGGAAACAAGAAGACAATGAGCCACCACAGGCGTCGTTGGCGCACATACTGAGCGGCAGCTGCGCTGGAAATAAGGAAGAGGCGCGTCACTTCATGCGGAAGCTCGACAAACACACAGCGAGGGCGATAGCAAGAGTTGAACGGGAGGCGCCGGACTCAAAAGACACCGCCACATTCCTGAGACGAGCGAGGGCAGCCTCCTTAAAGGCGAAAGGGTCTAGATTTGGGGCGCTCGCCGAAGAGGAGTACGACAAAATAGCACCCGTGATTGCCTGCACGCTACCCGCACTCACGGACTCCATACCCGAAAGAAAGAGAAGGGAGCTCGCGGGAGAGGTGACGAGTGAACTTCAGGTAGTGGGGAAGGCAGCCTCGATTGCCATACAGACATGGGTGCGAAACAACGACAAGACCAAGGCAAGGGCAGAGGAACGAGAGAAGAATATAGGGTGGATAAAGCGCCTGTTCACGGCATGGAGGGTGAGCCACACCGAACGTACCGAGCGAAGGGCCGAGCGGAAGGAGGACGGGGAAGATGACTCGGGGGAGGACGAACCAGTGGAAATTCAGTTGTCAGATGTCACGATGCACCCGAAGGGGACCCCAGCGCCGGCATCATCCGTAGAGGCACGAGTGTTCGAAGAGAGAGTGGACCTGAGCAACAACATGACGTGTAGGCAAATGATCGGAGTGGGAGTCAGAAATGTGGTCCTTGCGCGAGGGGAGCTTGATAGACTCGAGGGGCCAGGATACGCCGCGAGGAGGACGGAGTTGCGCAAGGCGAAAGAAGCCGCGAGAACAAGGGACCGGCAGGCGGCGGCGTCGCAGGACGAGGCAGAAGAGAACGACGCGACAGAGGAGGAAGTGACAAGGGAGAGACCGACGAGAGTGGGACGGCCGCGAGGTGGCATGAAGGTTGCAGCGAGAAGCGGCGAGAGACTGCGAAGTGAGATAGGAAGAGGCGGACGCCCAAGGGTGGGCGACGGCTAGCGCACCACACCCCTCTCCTTAAAATCCCTGTGTGGTGGCGGCGTGCCGTTCTCCCATCCCTCCCTTGGGTTGTGTGTTTTCTTTCTTTCTTTCTTCGTGTTGGCCAGTCGAGAAATTGAGAGTGTGACTAGGAGGGTGGGACGCTGGGGATTCTCAAGTCCCCGGGCGGAAGTGGGTGTTGCTCGGCCAGCCTAGGAGCTGGGTGGCGACGTGGTGCAGCGCGCGCGGGCCCGCGATGTTCTCAGGACTCAGCAGGGACGACTGGTGCATGGCGTGCCTCAGCAGGTGCGCCAGGAGCGGGTGGCCGGGAGCGCACGCCAGAAACCACTGGTGTAGGTCGCCCCTTTGACCGATGCCGGAGAGCCCCTCGTCATCGTCCCTGATGAGCTTGCTGAGCGGCGTCAGGAGTGTGGTGTCCACGTCGGCGTAGACGCCGCCGTGCTTGTAGATGATCAGTGCGCGCCACAAGTCGCACCTTGCCGCTCCGGTGAGCGCCGAGTCATACGCTTGGACGAGCATACGAGAGCCGAGCCGATGCACCTGCGCGCGCTGCTCTGTGTCGTTCACGTATCGCCAATGGTACTCCGGGTTCAGCCGCCTCCACGAGTCGGTCGCCGTGCGCATGCCAGGGCCGAAGGCGCTCGGCTCGACCTTGAACGACTGCCAGATTATGAGAGGGATTCGGCTTGCAGCCGGCTCGACGATGCCAAGCAGCAGCAGCAGCAGGAGCAGCCGCGCCGCATAGTCTGAGGGTATCCTAAAAGTTCGGCCGATTTGGGTCAAAACACTAGCACCCACGTGGGTAGATTTGGGGCAAAACGACAAAAGTGGGCCCGCCCGGGGCAAAATGGTAAAAGTCGAACTGTGCTTTCGTGCAGCCGGGTCGACGCGGAGTCTCGGATTTAGCCAAAGTGACCCATCGCGCAGCACATGACGACCGCCCACCGCTTGTGCAAGCGTGATCACTCGCTGCTGCACTGGCTGCTGCTGCTGCCATGGTGGGTCGGCGCAAGCAGCAGAACAAAAAAAGAATTGTATGCGCCGCCGGAAGAAATTTTACATGTCCTCCCATCCCCTAGGGCTGCCTCTTTTCTTTCTTTCTTTTTGCGCAGCGGCGCCGCCAGGCGCCCGCCCCGGCGGTGAGCGACGCGTAGCGAGCGAATCGCCGGGGCGGGCGCCTGGCGGCTCCGCGGAGCTCCTTTGGCTCGGCGCGGGCGGGGGCGCGAAAAAAATAAATTTCCCTGTTGCCCTACATGTGATCACTCGCTGCTGCACTGGCTGCTGCTGCTGCACTGGCTGCTGCTGCTGCACTGGCTGCTGCTGCACCTGACCCAGCGCGTGTGAAGGCACTTCCCGAGGCTGCGGCCGAAGCGGTGTAGGCAGACAACGATGCGGCGTGACGGGCGCGCGCGCGGGCGGAGTGGCGAACGCGAGGACGCTGCCGTCAGACGAGGGGTTGCTATCATACGCAAGCACGAGCGGTCGGTGACGCGACGGCATGTACATCACCGTTGCCCAGGCGCGAAAGTGTGTTGTGGGAGCAGCGTGCTTACAAACTTGTAGCGCTACATGTTTGGACACATACCTGCGGGCGCTTTCGAGGCGAGCGGCAGCATTTTCTTGCCATAGTGGAACTATTTGCCGTTTGGGGGTATGATAGGTAGTAGTTACTGCACCCGGCGCGCAGCGCCGAGGAAAATTTTGAAAAATGCTAAAAGTTGGGCGCTCCGAGACGACCAAAGTGGTAAAAGTCGCACTCTCCCCTGACCCGATCAAAAGCGTAAAAGCACCCGAGCGAGGCTCCAGAAACCTAACCCTCAGACTATGCCGCGCCGACGCCGTTGCGTTCGTCACTCCGGTCGCCACGACGCCGGCGCTGCTTCACGTTGGGTCGTCGGCACCACCTGCGAGCGTGCCGATTATTCCTGTGTGCACTCTCACTTGTGTCTTGCTGCGATGTTGTGTGAGAGAGAGATCTTTCTTCTTGTTGTGTAGTCTGTAGAGAAGAAGAGAACAGAGCGGGGACACCAGAGTCGTCACCACACTCCTGTCTCTGCCGATACTCTAGTGAGACACGCACGGGTGTCGGTGGTAGCGACGAAGTGAGCCGCGCGCGCGCGCGCGCGCGCAGCGCGGCGCGGCTCCTCTATACTCTGAACCTTTGTGCTCTGAGAGTTTTTATGTAATGCACAGAGTGAGGCAGTCGATGATGGGACAAGGGTTATCAGTGCAACCACCAGTTCAGTCCCAGCCACACCGCCGCCGCGGTCGGCCCTAGCGGCCCGATCCGGTCGACGGCGCCGACGAGCACTGCGGTGGGCGCGCCCAAGAGCAGGCCGCGCCAGTACTCCATCCACCAGGGCGGCCGGCGGCGCGCCGCCGGGTCGATCGCGTGGACGACCGCAGTCGAGGCGCCTTCGGGCACCTCGACGACCGCGTCGGCGAAGGCGACCATGTCGGAGTAGACGAAGTTCTTGACCGGGGTGAGGGGGTGGACGTAGGCGGGGCGCAGGAAGGCGTAGTTGGGCAGGTAGGGCGGCGCGTGCCGCACGTGGCGGTACACGACGACGTGCGCGTTGCTCTCGCGGCCGTGCCGGAGATGCTCGCTCTCGAGCAGCTCGATCATGATCGCCTGGAGATCGGGGGAGATCGGGGGAGATCGGGGGAGATCGGGGGAGATCGGGGGAGATCAGCGGGCGATAGAGAGAGAGAGAGAGAGAGAGAGAGAGAGAGAGAGAGAGAGAGAGAGAGAGAGAGAGAGAGAGAGAGAGAGAGAGAGAGAGAGACGCGCCTTTGGGAAGAGCCTCGACCGACGCAGTAGGCCCGCAAAAACGAGACCTTGGCTGGTCCACTGCGCGCAGTTCCCCGCCACAAACGTCACCGCGCGCAAGTCTCGCACCGCCGCCTGCCACTCGAGAGGCGCCGCCGCCTCCGCCGCCGCCGCCGCGCGCTCGCCGCCCGAGAGCACCTCTGTCGCGCAATGCACCGGCGCCGGCGAGGCGGCGGCGGCTGCAGGTTTCTGCGGCGCGCGTCCGCGCGACAGCGTCTCGGTCGCGCGGCGGGCGCGGTCGAGCGCCTCCGCCATGGAAGACGCCAGCGTCAAGGGCGGGGGTGCGTGGGTACCACACGCACTGTGCATGAGAGAGTCGCGTCAGCCCCCGGGAGACAGAGGAGCCCCGCCGAAACTAGAGTCCCCCGGGCTGCTGCTGCTGCTGCTGCTGCTGCTGCTGCTGCTGCTGCTGCTGCTGCTGCTGCTGCTGCTGCTGCTGCTGCTGCTGCTGCTGCTGTTGCTGTTGCTGTTACCTCCGGTCCACACGGGTACTCCACCGTGCTAGGACAACAAGGCCCCACGGTACACGGCGTCTCCACACTAGGCGAGTCCCCCGGGCCTGTTCGCACCATTAAGAGGAGGGAGATAGGGGGAGATGGGGGGAGATAGGGGGAGATCGGGGGGGGAGAGAGAGAGAGAGAGAGAGAGAGAGAGAGAGAGAGAGAGAGAGAGAGAGAGAGAGAGAGAGAGACGTACCATCTAGCCTCGGGGCACCAGCCGCAGGACGTGGCCGACGGCGGGAGGGAACTGGTTGGCGAGCGACGAGAGCCTCGCCTGGAGAAGAGGGAACCGCGCCAGGTGGGCGGGGGAGGGCGTCTAGAAGAATACTGAAAGCATCGGTCAACTCCAGCCTTCGAGGTCTCTATACGGCTGGTCATACTGGTTCGCCTCGACGAGCTGGAATCGTGCCGCGCCCCCCTTGGCAGGCAGCGCCACCCCTGCCTGCCGTGCCGTTGGGTCAGGTAAGGTGAACTTCTCCACGCTCGCAAGGCAGCGGGGCAATCCTCGCATCTCCACGTCCAAAAAGGAGCCCCATGACATTGAACTTGCAAGGCCTCCCCCCCCCCCCTCTCTCACTGTGTGTGTGTGTGTGTGTGTGTGTGTGTGTGTGTGTGTGTGTGAGTGAGTGAGTGTGTGTGTGTGTGTGTGTGTGTGTGTGTGTGTGTGTGTGTGTGTGTGTGTGTGTGTGTGTGTGTGTGTGTGTGTGTGTGTGTGTGTGTGTGTGCGTGCGTGCGCGTACCTGTCGTGCTGCAGCCGGAAAGCCGACGAGGCTGCGGGCGTGGAGCGCGGCAAAGTACGCGTGCAGCGCGTCTGTCGCGCCCGGCAGGCAGCGTTCGACGCGCACGCCGATGAAGTCGCGGTTGTACGCGCCTCCCTGCTGCGCGTAGGTGTCCCATCCTACAGTGCGCATTTCACCCGTAGACGCCACTGCAAGCCCAGCGGCAGCTGCCCAAGGGTCGGGCGTGAACCTTGGGTGGGGATGTGTGTGTGCCGGCCAGCGGGGATGTGGCGAGGCGTTCACCCGCCGTGCCGTAGAGGTACTCTTCGGGAGGCACAAAGTTGACCATGCGCGAGCCTGGCTTGTCGAGCGATCCCAGGATGTTCATGACCCGCTGCTGGCCGTCGCTCGTGGTGTACCTCACCGCTGCGTGTCCAAAGCGAAACAGCGCAGTGTGCAGAGCGATACTCTTTGGGCTGTCGGTGCACGTCAGATGGTCTGCGAGCAGTATCTCAAGATCAGGCGGTCGACTCACGCCGAGCGCCACGTCCACTTGCCGTAGGACCTCCGCCTTGTTGTCGATCGCCTTGCCATCCCGTGCGCCGAGAACGCCGCTACCCGATTGCGATGAACTAGCAGCCTGAGCACTGCAGAGCCTCCTCCGAGTCAGATGAAGCACCAGCGGCGGCGGTGACACTGAATAGCCGGACTTCGGTTTGGGAAGCCGCATGTATGGCAGTGATGTGCGCCCAGCCGTGCGACTGCTCGTCTGGCACACGGCCAAAAATATTTTTTTCGCAGCAGTGGAAGCTTAGCGATCTGGTCCCTTCCTGTTCGACCCACTCCCTTTGTTCTCTTCTCATAAAATCGGAGGGTCGGCCCACGGGGGAACTGAAGCGACCCAACGATTTTATGAGTGGCAGCAACCACCTGCACGAGCAGGATTTTGGAAGAACGATCAGGGGGACAGGTGGGGCTCTCCTGCTCCTGACAAGGGACACGACAGGCTCGCAGCGCGGTGCGCGGTGGACTCCCACATCCACTGGCGGTCTCATCTCAGTCTAGCGACCTGCCTCCAGGTTAGAGATTTCTTTGTTCGGAGTTTGGCGGTCTTTTAAATTCTTTTGGGTCGTTTCATCGCAACACTTCGCCATGCTCCGCTCGACTGCGGCGCCCGCGCTCCGCCGTGCGGCGCCCGCGCTCCGCCGTGCGGCGCCGCTCTGCGCTGCGGCGCCCGCGCTGCTGGCGTGCCGCGGGCTCGCGACGGGCCCCGCCTCGGGCGGTGCCGTTTCCGACGAGATGCTCGAAAAGCTCGGCACTCTCTCGACGCAGGCGCTCGTCGACGGCCTCTGGGTCATGGGCTGGCCTCCGGCGATGGTGGAGGGTGCGCGCGGGCTGAAGCCGGGCCAAAAGTGCAAGGGCCGCGCGATCACGCTGCGCATGGTCCCGCAGCGGCCCGACATCGCCGCCGACAAGCCGGCGGGCGAGATTTCGCCCGAGTACGAGGCCTTCGAGCTGTGTGGCCCGAAGGAGGTGCTCTGCATCTCGTCAGTCGGGCCGTGGGAGTCGGTGGGCGGCGACATCAAGTTCCTGCGGCTAAAGCAGCTCGGCCTAGGCGGGCTCGTCACCGACGGATCCGTCCGTGACACCGACGAGATCCTGTCGTACGGCTTCCCTTGCTTCTCGCACTCGACGACCGCCAAGCAGGGCCCGGCGGCGATGCAGCCGTGGGAGTGCAACGGCGTGATCGAGCTGGGGCAGACCAACCCGGTCGTGGTCCGCCCGGGCGACGCCATCATCGGCGACCAGGACGGCGTGGTCGTCGTGCCCGCGGCGGCGGCCGAGAAGGTGTACGAGATTGCACACTTCCGCGAGACGGTCGAGGGCATCATCAAGGAGGAGCTGGTCAAGAACCCGGGACCACCGGGCAAGTACTACCCCTTCAAGCCGCCCATCAAGCCCGAGTCGCCGCTCGGCAAGCTGCTCGACTCCAAGGGCATCAAGTACTAGGGAGGGGGGGGGGGGGCAGCTCTTTGAGGCAGCTCTCATTGCGCGAACGTGCATGTGCGACCATAGGCGGCCGTAGTACGTGTTTTGGCGGGCGCAGACTCGGTGTTCGTGGGGAGGCTGGTGTACAGGAGGCAGACTCCAGACACACAACACACTGCATACCTCATGTCCTTGTCCGCATGGTCTGGTATACTTCATCTCTTCTACATCTTAAATCCGTCTGCGCACTGCGGGTCTCGGCTGGGGGGAGAACACATTGGGCTCTCCCCCCCTTCTCGCCAACCCACTAAATTCCACTTTCCAGCAGACTGCAGAGTTCTCTGCGCCTTCGAAGTAAAGTACTCGACACTGCAGAAAACGGGGCGCGGACCAGCTGCTTCCCCCATATGGCGCTTGCGCCGCGCAGCGTGGGCGCGGCATCCGTGACGGATGCGGGCCGTTGTCTCGCGGGATCGCTGGGAGCCGCTCGGCTCTCCACGCGCCGCCGAGCTGCGATGGCGCCAGGACCGCAACGGCTGCCCCTCCTCGGCTCCCGCCCCGGGGCTGCCGAAATAGGCGCCCCGAGCCACCGTTTGCAACATCCGCGCGGAACGACGGTGGTGCCGACGCCCCCCCGACCGGCAAACACCACCAGAAGGGCGGTGGTGATCGCTCCCGGTCAGAAATGTCGTCGTCGTCGCGCAGTTCCCTAGTGTCCGCTTGGCGGCCGGCGGCGGCTGGCGTCAGAAAATCCTCAATCACGCTTTTCGGCGCGGAGGTGCTGGCAGGATTCCAGGCCCCTCCCCTCAGGCCAGTGGGTCTGGACTTTGCGTCCAAAGCAGGCGCGATGCCTCGTCGTCCTCATCGTTTGCGGCCACCACTCCTGCCTCAAACGGGCCAAACGACTGTCTCGCCATCACCCATCTCGCCTCTCGCGGTCGCGTCACGCCTTCCCTCGTGCCGCGAGTAGGCGCGTGAGTGATGGCCCTGCCGCCAGGTACACGGCTACACCTCGGGACGCCGTGATGAGACGGATAGAGCCGCCCCGCGGGAGCAAAAGCCGCCTTGCGCGCCTCAGCCCGCCGGGCCCCTCGGCGGCAAGTGTGGGGTTGATACGGCGGTGATACACCCCCCCTCCCCGCACGTCGCCTCCGCGCCTCCACGCCCCCACGACGACCTCTCGCCCCGCCCTCCCCGCGTCTCAGACCTTTGGCCGTGCTCCGCTCGGGGCGACTCGGCGCCGCCGTCGCGAGCACGCCGCCCTCGCCC